TGCAAGTTGTACACAGATACTGCCTCCTGTCGGTATATATAATAATATAATAATATATATAATAATAATATATAATATTATATATTATGATTGATCATAACAGCACAGGAGTTCTAAAAAAGCACAGGAATTCTTACCCAATACCCATGTTTGATATTTCATGCGAAGGAGCTCATCTTATAACCTCGCTAGACAGCCTGATAAGTAATTACAGAGGATAATATTATACAATATTAAATTTCCATCTCTCATGGCTTACCACTTACCAGTCCAGTTAAACGATTAGGACGTATCGTCGCTGCTGTCCCAAGTGAAGGACATGGTGTATTCTGAAAAGGTATTTCTTTCTCTTTATCTAGCGGTAGAGTTCATTATTTAATCGTTTAGAACTTTGAAACTTTAGATAATATTATATTGGTCGTTTCAAGGTGTTTCAACGAGTATTAAATCATTATTTGTATCTTGAGGACTGAGGAGGATCGGGTGTGAAATGTAAATTGAGACATTGCTAATTTCTCTTCGTAGTAATCGTTTTCTGCTGCAGTCTTCATGTCGGATCGATTTTTTAAGAACACATATCTTGCTCTATATGTATTATATATATATAATATATATATATATATTTCATTGCCGAACTTCTACACAATAAAAAAAGCGGTTTTGACTAGATCCTCGTAATTCTTTGCATCATTTATTAACATCAATTCTGAGAAATTATATCATTAAAGCAACTATAAAAAATACGAATCATATACAATTGAGAATATATAATATAGAAACTAAAAGAAGTGGGAAAATCTGATGAACGGAAATTTTAAAAAGGAACTAAAAGCTGTGAAAAAATATACTCTTATCTTATCTCATATCAAATACTGATAACTGATTCTCAGAAAATCATATCACTTAAGTTCACAAAATAAACCTGTAAAATGTATAGTACTAAAGTAAAACTTTTTTACACACGTCTCTGGAATATCTCTATATATATCTCTATATTATATAATATATACCTGATGAATTGAGCCATACTGATGAGTCATAATCTTACTATATACAGGGTAGCAATACGTCAGGATAGCAGGATAAGAATACTTCAGTATAGCAGGATAATAATACGTCAGTATAGCAGGATAACAATACGTCAGGATAGCAGGATAACAATACGTCAGTATAGCAGGATAACAATACGTCAGTATAGCAGGATAATAATACGTCAGTATAGCATGATAACAATACGTCAGTATAGCAGGATAACAATACGTCAGTATAGCATGATAACAATACGTCAGTATAGCAGGATAACAATACGTCAGTATAGCAGGATAACAATACGTCAGTATAGCAGGATAACAATACGTCAGTATAGCAGGATAACAATACGTCAGTATAGCATGATAACAATACGTCAGTATAGCAGGATAACAATACGTCAGTATAGCATGATAACAATACGTCAGTATAGCAGGATAACAATACGTCAGTATAGCAGGATAACAATACGTCAGTATAGCAGGATAACAATACGTCAGTATAGCAGGATAACAATACGTCAGTATAGCATGATAACAATACGTCAGTATAGCAGGATAACAATACGTCAGTATAGCAGGATAACAATACGTCAGTATAGCAGGATAACAATACGTCAGTATAGCAGGATAACAATACGTCAGTATAGCAGGATAACAATACGTCAGTATAGCATGATAACAATACGTCAGTATAACAGGATAACAATACGTCAGTATAGCAGGATAACAATACGTCAGTATAGCAGGATAACAATACGTCAGTATAGCAGGATAACAATACGTCAGTATAGCATGATAACAATACGTCAGTATAGCAGGATAACAATACGTCAGTATAGCAGGATAACAATACGTCAGTATTGTCAAGCAAAAGAGGATTTAAGGGGTAATATGAGAACATACTATGATTATAAATAGGTGATTCGAGAAGCAGTAACGAGCACCTGAGCTAACAAGCACACGTAGAGCCAAGCTAATGAGCTTGTGTTAGGGGTTGTATCCTCAGTACTGATACTATAGGGGATCAATAAAGTTTACTACATCTTAGGGATAATCACTCCACTATAAACCGTAAACGTGAACGTCTAAGTTAGAAGTGATTCAAATGCTGAAGAGTTGTCGAACACTTCGCAGACATGTCTTTAGGGCGACCCTGGTACAAAAAACTCAAATTATCGAAAAATTGTGACCAAAATGCTTAAAAAAAGGATTAAAATTGTCGAAAAAACACATTTTCGGGAAAAATTTTTAGTGCATTTTGAAAAATTCCGGGGAAAGGAAATACCCGCGATAAATCGGGGCGCGGTAAATCGGGGTTTTACTTTACAAGGTAAATTCGGCAGAATCCCGTTCTTAATTAGCGACTAAATTTAAACATGTTCAAGTCTGTAGTACGAACGGTAAATCGTAACTTAGAGCGATAGTTTAGTTGTAGTAATCGCATCCCTGAAGCAATGTATTGGCTATTTACCCCTTATCACGGTGGCTTTCAGCAGTCTTCCAGTCATTTGCCAACCTAGACACCGGGATTGATCCCGGGTGATTTGTCTTCCAAGTCGCAGGGTTCGGTTTTGTGGAGGTTATCGTACAGGGTTCGGTTCTGTGGAGGTTACCGTGAAACTAGATACATACTTTGTTGCATTTTTTTTATGTTGTGACTCTTATTTATGATTTTCAATCATGTAGTTTGTTGATAGTTGTTTCGGCGTTGTTGGTGGCGAGGCAGAGGTCAGCTAGCCTAGAGTCAATCAAATCATAAAAATATGATCAGATTGTTTTCTAATATTGCATAAAATTCTACGCTCACCATAAATAACTAATATATAAAGTCCTTATATATAAAGTCCTTATATAAAGTCCTTATTAATTTGTCAAGATCAAATCACAGTTGTAGATCTGTAGCCTGTAATGAATCCTAGAAACTATCTTCTGTCGTGACGAATTATCTTGTGTTTCTTCCTCATTCGAAGGTTTTGATGTGAGACGTCTCCGACGTGTGCTAAATTGCATAGTATAACAGGGTGGGCCATAATTAGCTTCAAATTAGCGAGGCGTATGAATTGAGCACGATCCAGCTCAAAAGCTCTGTTTTCGCCTAATCTGGTCGAAATGTGGACCTTACTCACATTTCAACATTAAGTTTATTCTGGCCCACCTTGTATAACTCGACTAGCCATCACATCCAGATTCCTGAACTGTGACATCTAGTTCATTTCCTTAACTTTGCCATATATTTAAATTTCCATTTCCTTAACTGCATGGCATCTATTTAATTTCATACTGCGAGAGAGTCAGCTGTCTGCAGTGAGCAAATAGCCCGGGATATCTGTTGTTGTATAGTTGAAAACGCTGTCTATTAATTGATTTCAGAGGGAGGTTGAAAAATTGCCGCCATCTGTATATAATTTCCATTGTGCTGTGGCAAGTCTGCTTTTGTCTTTTTGTAACCTTGACAAGAACAATGAACCTACCAAGCTTTGAGGGACTCGTGCTCGAAGGCTCCCTCTATATTCAAATTATGTGATTGTAAATAAAAAGAGAAATTAAGAGAAGACCAGCTTCGGCTATTTCTAAGCCGATCAGGACCCAATGTCTCTTAGAATCTCGCGAGAATTTGTCGGCAAACATCTGTAAACCTAATAATAGATATATAATAGGCTTGTCTGTATTTAAGCAGCAATTTCAGATAGCGTTATTGGAAACGTTTTATTATATTCACGTAGTTCGGATAGAATGAATATTAGAATTTATTAGCTTTTACTTGTTACTAAATGCGTCTATACCAAAGAAGCGATTGCTACAAATACTGTTGCGAATGGTAAAGAGCCTTATCCAAATTGCTATTATCTTACATCATTCTACTTGTCTAGGATATTTTCATTTACCAGGGGTAATTTTAGGCGTATAAGCACTATTCAATTTCCACCCGATGACCCGATAGGATAAGGCACTGTGTGTTCATCTGTGTGTATCTTTTTGCTTCCATACACTTTCGAAATCTCTAATCCTTCAGTGTTCTATTTTTGTCCTGCTTCATACTTTGTCTTGATACGAAATAGTAATTGTTAGATTAGATAAGGATAAAACAGTAAATTCAGTGCTTATCTTATTGCACTGCTTTGATTTTAAATCTTGCTTGAGCCTGTTCTTTTCTTGCACTTCTCAGTGTCATTTTCTTTAATTAAGTTCTCATACTTATACTACATATTTTCTTTAAATAGGCATTCTAACTTACTATTATGCGACGTGGCTTATTCCAACTTCCTGACAAATTTATAGGGATGGTCTGAGGAAAGCCGTCTCGTAGATCCACGAACCAATTAGATCGTGCCACGTCATCAAGCAACCCATGGTGCTGACTAACCACGACAATCTACTGTATTCCCAGTAAATTTAGCCCGTAATTATCCTTTAATTACGATTATTGAGCAGGCTGGCCACGTGACAGTTTAAACGCTACTAACTCACGGAAAGGAGGCATGCAGCCTTTTCCTGGGCGATCTTTGTAATTAAAGAAATCTCTAGTTAGATAGACAGCAGTTATATCTGTCCAGTTCATTACCTCGATATATATTATACTGTTCTTATCGACGAGTCGGTTTCTGTTTGAAAATGCTAAAAAGAAAATCGATGATGTTCTTCGAGAAGTAATCATATCTAAAGTCGAAATTTTTGATTAGATATCAAATTTTTGCGTGCTTTGCACGACTGATCAGCGACCTCTTAGATTCCATATTAAATTAAGAAATGTTTGCGTTTGCAGGATTAATTATGGAGCTTGTTGATTTGTTTTCGAGCTGATTTGCTCGCTTCATATTTTGATATATAATATATAAATAGCAACTCAGTTCTTCAGTTTTATCTAAAAGTTTAAACGTTATTCATTTCAATTTAATTGCATTTTATAGCCGTTTTAGTCTGTTCTCATGATTTGCAAACTCGTTACATCGGATCACATAATTCTCTCCTCCAATCATGTCTGGATCTAGATATTTGAAACTCGCGATCTAGGTATTTGAAACTCGCGACCAGACAGCACCAGAAAGCACCTGAGAGCTGATGTAGATTGTTCGGTACTTCTAATTGTCCCTGCAACACCTGACCTGTATCTTGTGGGTTTAGAGAGTCCTTCATCCTTCTATTTTGGTCCTACTTCTCTGCCCTGATAGTAACAATCAACATGCCTCTCAAGATCGCACTCTCACTTGTACGTTTCCCCCTAGTAAAGACGGTTAAAATTGAACTACGATTGATTTCCTTGATTATTATTTCTCTGTCGAGAGAAAAAGCGCTAGATTTTTTGCATTTGAAGATAAGAGTGATAGCGATTAGAGAAAGCCACTGCTGCAAAACACACATCCCAGGACCAGCCGACCTCCACAACCCCGATAAACACACATACGTGCACACATACCTCGTACGGAATGACGGACACGGAGACAGGAACTGGAGATAAGATCCCCCTCAAATCAGCTGACGTTCTGGGATTAAACAGAAAAGTAGGGGCCGCCCCACCTTCATTACATGATTACATAATTACATAATTATCCGGTAGTTCTGCGGAGGTTCTGCTGATTAATTCAGCACCTAATTATCTGCACGATAACAGACTGAGTTCCAGGATGTTAGTTACAGTGGTTCTGGCAAGTTCATCACTCAGATGACGTTTCTTTGCAAAATGATCGTTAAAAATGTTCTGCATAGAGTGTGCGTACATAATATGTTGACGTGGCTTTATGTTAAAATCCATAGCCCTTCTTCAAATCACAATTATTATTAACAAATTGGAGATGTCTAAAAAGTAGAATCATACAAAATTAAAAGTTCGATCTTTTGAAATGTGACTTCAAAATGTTACCAATGTTGAGTCCGTGTAAGCTGTTACACTGTCACTAATGTTACACATAATGTTAACAATCTATTCTTGGCAGTATTTACAATGAGCATTACGTCCTAGTTCTTAAGTTACAAATATAACATTTTCTTGAACTGTCTTCAATTATATATTAAATCACAAGTTCAACTGATGTGATCAAAATGTACGATAAGACGTCTGTTGTTACTTGAGACTCGTCCAATAATGTAAACGTTAAAACACGCACCAAGTTTCGTTGTACTCAGTACTTTTGATACCTGCCTGTTGTTTGTAACCATGTCCGGCTGTATTGAATTCCGTCGTGTAAGTATTGTTTATGTCACATGAAAAAGGGTGGTTGCGTGACTGTTACATGATTGCCTCACTGTTACCGTACTGAAGTATAAATTCTGGATAATTTCTGGTGTCATCAGTGCAAGTGCAGCTGATCTATATCTGAATTTAAATGCTTCGTCTAAAAATAATACGAAGGTCTGATAATTAATGAACGTTTATTTTCAGAACAGCCACGGCGAATCCGGTTCAGAATCCTCAGATGTAAGTAACTTTGTTTAAGTGATAATCCTATTTCACATTGTAAGTCTGTCTGGCTTGGTGACGTAGTAAGACTGTTTAACAATGCTCAAGACTACAGATTCAAGACACAGCTCCTGACTTTAGATTCTTAATAGCTCTGAAACTCCCATCACTTTATAAAGCTAGGTCGTAATCGCAAATTTAGCTATCCACCGGAGCAAACAAAACAAATATAAATTAAGTATCTATTGTTCAAGAAATCATTTCTCTTGTTTGATTGGAGGAAATCTAATATATTTAATACATGACTTAGTCTTAAGTCATTTAATCAGTAGTCGTGTCTCAAGTTTCAATAATTTCACTTAAATTTCACCAAATGAATCATTTTAATCAGACTGATCCCCACCCTCTCCATAAGAAAGTCATGAAATTTCTCGCAGGAATTTGGACGGGACTCTGTGGAATGTTTCTTAAACTGGGACGACACAAGAACAACACAACAAACATTACACCCTGACGTGACAAACACAAGACAAACACGCGACAACGCGTCTCGAGACGGCTCTAACTCGAGACACGATCTAACTCGCGACAACTTGACTCACTACGTCTACAATGAGACTGACACAGATCCTATTTCACTTATTTCTGACGTTACTCCGATCCTACAACCCAGATTCAGAACCGTGTCTCTGGTATTCCTATTTAGTATTTACTAGCAAGCTAGCACTAATATAAGGAGTTTCTGGTATTCCTATTTAGTATTTACTAGCAAGCTAGCACTAATATAAGGAGTTGCCATTCTTTTCATGATTACTCATTATTCTGAGAAATGTGAATGATGTCTTACTGTGGTAGTAGGGTAGTTAGGGTAACAAAATATTGTGGTTTGTTTCGAGAGGAAAATGAGTAAAAATTGTGAAAAGTGTGAAAATATTTTGCTGACAAAAACAAAAAATTCCAAGTTGAAAAATGTCATTTCAGTCCTTGTCTTTACTCGATAACTGATAAATGAATTAAAATCAACGAACCATGGCATCAAGAAATAAGGCAAATATTGGGTGCAACCGAATTAAGAACTTGGGAATCGTGGGAATCGGTCGGCAAACCAGACACAATTGAAACTAACAACTTTTACTGTGCAAGGTCTCTAAAACTCCCAGACTCTCAGATAACAAAATAGGTCACGTGACTATTCGAATAATCATGCATGACGAACTAATGACCGTCTCTCGCTCCATATTGTAGAGTTCAGCAGAGAAATGCAACAATTACCCATATTTATTCAGAAACCTTACTAAAATGAAAGTTTCAAATTCCCCCGTTATCGGCACAGCAAATACCTCACAACCGCGTCACGAACTGGTTAATTTTAATTACAGAGTGATGAACACCACGGATTTAATGAAGTGGAACTCGATATGATTAGGCCACGGTCACATACCCGACCTTATAAATTGAATGACATTTGTTTCTCCAAAGTTTTGGTGTATTTTCCTCTGGTGAACTCGCCGCCCTGAACGTTGCAGTTCTAGTAGTGTCCTAGTAGACTATAACTAGTTAATAGTTACCATGGCAACCAGTCTGGTCATGTCTAACTGCATGAGGCCCAGTCACGTGACGATGTCAGATGTAGTGACTCTAGAAATGCTGCAGGATCACTGTCATGAGATCGAGGAAGATAAGGATAACAGGAACAAGGCTCGGAACCAGCTCATGATCGCCTCTATTGTGTGTCTTCTCTTCATGGTCGGAGAGATCGTCGGTTAGTTACTGTTTTATTTTAGTATATTGAATTTGTCATCTATTTGTCTTGACATAACATCTAGATTTTAATAATATCCATTATATTATGTAACCCTAATTTAAACCCTGATAAAGGAATCGTATGTTATGTAGAGAATGTAAACAATATACGCCATGTGTAATGCGTAAAGAACATTTGAGTCACATTTTGAATATAAACGCTAAAAGCTTTAATAAACACTAGTCATTACATTGCCCGGCGCTTTTAGCAAGTAGTTACATTGCCCGACAGCCGACATTAATTCGATAATTTAAGTTATTGCACGTTTTGTAATTTTCAATTTGCCAAAAGAAATGGGAAAATCGACAAACGGTTAAGACCTGAGCGCTGAACTTTTAACTTTTAGAAAATCAACTGACGTATTACCTACAATTATGTATTCCAGGTTAAGATTGACCATTATCAACGCACTACAACGTTTTAAACGTCACATTCCAATATCCCGTCCACCGAGAGTTGTGTCCAATATGTAGCCCATACTCTCTAGTCCCCTGGCTCGTTAAGCTTACCAAAGTATTCAATAAAAAGAATGTAGAGTTGACGTAATATGCAACAGTTTGGCAAGGTGTAATGGTTAGGTACGCTACTAACAGCAAATACTGCATAACAGATATTAGCCGGTGAGCAGTTGTTTTGTTACCTTCAACATGGACGTAATATGGTTTCTGTGACATTTTATTATGTCACTTGTTACTCCAATGTGTGACATATTGTGCGGACACACATTGTTAACATAGTGTAATGTCGTAACACGTAAGTCTAACAACATTACTTGCTGCAAATCTCGCAGGAAGGCACGGAATGGTGCAACAGTTACATATCACACATATCACACATATCATTGTGTATATTCTATAACACTTCCTGATAGACAACATTCCGCAAGTAATATAGTCTACCTGTGTGATAAGACAAACATTATCCTTGTAAACATCGTGGTATTACGTGATATTATTACATACTATATTATCACCCTACGCGCGTGGGGTGGACTCCTGGGGTGGACTTTTATTCAGCGCGTATTTTGTAGCCTGTTCAACTTGACGTTTTGATTCGTTACTATCTCAATGTCACAGATACACAGAATGTGAGGTGATCATCTTAAAGAGAAACGTCTCAGCTTTCACCTGGTGTAAAGTTTATCTTTGTACTCAAAATATAGCTCGCTCAGTGTGCAATAGAAGTTGACAATACAATAACCACGTCTGCGACCGGTCGTCAGATACCGGAGTGTTGCACAAAATTGGGTCCCTAAATTAAAATTCTATGACACAGTTACCATGCAGAAATGTCTAGGGAAACATTTGGTGAAAGTTTCAACTCTCTACTATAAAAATAGCGATAGTTATTGAAGATAAACCGTGAGAAACTCCCTCTTGTCGAGATCAACGCTCTAGGAACCTCCCTTCTGTACCACGTGACAACGATTTGAGCGTCACGTGGCCGTCACGTGACAAAAGTGCGCGCATCGGATGGAGCAGTCTCGTGGGAAATCCTGATTGCCTGATCGATCTCGTGGGAAATCCTGATTGCTACGGAAAGGGCTGACAACCACAGTTATTTCCCTTCCTCAATTTTCCAGTTCACTTGCTCAGTGCTGTCAGTTGTTTTTTGTTTGCCCTGCTATATAAACTTCACTCCGTCATAATCCCCTACTCCCCTATCCAATGAACTGTTTCTGTTACAGCTGCCATTCTGTTGACTGGACCCTAACTTAGTCTTATCATTTTCACTTGATAACTTTATCCGTGTGCACTTTCTCGAAACTCAACTTATCTTTGTCAAGACTCAGCTAATCTCAGAACTAAATGTTGCCTTAACAGACTTACTTGTCACTGCACTGGGCCCTCCTTTAAATGCAAATATCATATGAGCAGCTGATCGATTTATTGCTTGAACTGTGCATCCTTTTTAAAAATAAATAAGGTCAATTTTACTATCGTGAAACTTAGTCACTGAAGACAACGCAATCTGGCTGTGCCGGTTCCCCTCTGCCTAGATCACTTAGAATATCCATAGTTAGCAATACTTTTATCGTTCAATGCAGCGATATAGCCAGTTATCAATGCTACATAGTAGATTTTAGCCTGTTCCAATCATCCTTATATCGCGTTAATGGAATTTATGAAATTGCCTACCGTTCAAATCGCTCTCTGTTGTTAGCACCACACTGATTAACTACGATGTTCCAATTTTTTAGAATTATGTCCGACATAATTCTAATTTTTGCTGTTACAGCAGATAGTTATGGTGTAATGGCACGCAGGAATAAGTCATCCCTGTCCTCCAAAAAGCCCATGAAAAGGTATTTGGTAAGCTATGTCTTTTCCAATATCAAATCCAATGTATCACAATCTGTGGACTTTCTACTCAAAAACTAGATTGATTAATTGATAATTCATTGCTGATTGTTCACGCGCCCTGTATGGAAGTATATAAATGGTAATCCGCATACTCCAGGAAGAATTGAAGCAATCTCAAAAGAAAAGAAGGGAATCTGGATCCTTCGTCGGATCGTCAAAGAGCTTAGAGGGGAGCTCTACGCTTCACTGGCCATGCAAAGCAGGGAGAGTGACGGAGGCGGAGGCACTGCTGGCTGCTGGAACGGACATTAACAAGCTGGACAGAACGCAGTTTAACCCTTTCATGGACGCGATCAACTCAGGTAAATCATTCGACCGCCTTAACAATATGGGTTTATTGGTAATAGTAGCAAGAGGTTTTAGTCATGCGTTTGATTACAGCACAGTGTGAAACCCTGAAGCATACGTCGAGCTCTAAACTCTGTTTTGTCTAATAATCAATTATTTGAATATTGAAGGATTAAATTTGGTAACTTGATGATCACACAATTAACAGGACAGGTCGACTGTGCTAGATGGCTGCTGAGGCAAGACGGTTTAAAGCTTCAGACCGAGATATGGTCGTTTTGTAGGGAGAGGGTGCTAGAGTCATTGCTAACAGCTTAACAGAAGGTAAAATCCTGAACTTTTGTTCATTGATTAAAAATCACCATTCAGACATACAATCGTTCAGATGTAAAAATTATTTATTCACTATTTTGGATTACATTTAGTTACAGGACTAACATGCGACATCCGTCGTTGACCTTTGTCTTTAATTCAACAAGGTAGGGAGAGCGATCCATGGCTGTCCCGATAGACCCACTCAGACTCCTGCCGGAAGATACTCCTCCGGTTGATCCAGATGAGACAGTTCTAGCAGATGATCAGTTACAGACTGAAGAACATATCCCACAGATCAATGCGTCAACATCTGCAAATGAAGGTACTTCAATCTGCTCTTCTTGTATATGTCTTTGTACCTGCGTCTGTGATTGTACTGAAGTGTACTCTGTGTGTTTGTGTCTGTGTCTGTCTTTGTATCGTGTGTGTGTCTCTGATTGTACTGCGTGTGTCTGTAATTGTAATGTAGTGCACTGAAGTGAACTATGTGTGTTTATGTGTGTGTGTCTGTGTGTGTCTGTGTGTACTGTGTCTGTCTGTGTGTCCGTCTGTGTCTGTGTGTGTCTGTGTTTATGCCTGTGTCTGTGTGTCTATGTCTGTATGTGTTTGTGGGTGTGTGTCTGTGTGTCCTTGTCTGTGTGTTCCTGTGTCTGTCTGTGTGTCTGTCTGTGTGTCCGTCTGTGTCTGTGTTTATGCCTGTATGCCTGTATGTCTGTGTCTCTGTGTGTGTGTGTGTCTATGTCTGTATGTGTCTGTGTGTCTGTCTGTGTGTCCGTCTGTGTCTGTGTTTATGCCTGTATGCCTGTATGTCTGTGTCTCTGTGTGTGTGTGTGTCTATGTCTGTATGTGTATGTGTTTGTGGGTGTGTGTGTGTGTGTGTGTGTGTGTGTGTGTGTGTGTGTGTTCTTTCATAGAAGTTGTTATTTCCAAGATACGAAGTTCGAAAAGCTAGCATTTAGTAATAGACGAATTTTGCAGCTGATATCAGAATCGACATGATGATGGTACTACACGAGATGCTCATGGAAAAGGTCTCCGTTTGCTTTCCTCCTCCCTTTCCTCCTCCCACACAAAGTGTGGGTTCAACTTTAATCTGATAGAAGATATCGTATGCGGAACCCAAGCCCGGCCATGTCTGTACATAATAACGAAAGAAACCGGTAAGTTTCTAATCATGTAAATGTTCGGCCGAACGTTTGCATTCATTTTAGACTAGTGACGAAAATCAACAATCGTTTGCCAGTTTGGTTTGCAAAATCGACAAAAAATAGTCCATTCCCCATGGCCATGATATTAGAATTCTGCCCGTTGAAATCGGCCACTCTGATTTTTATCATTGAACTTCACATTGATGACATGTTCATTCTCTACAGGTTATGCTGCGAGGGCGTTTACCTCGATAGATGTTGAAAATGCCCACAGCATTATAAATCATTTGGACCGCCGAGGGGTCCAAAACTCCTCAATCGAAGAGCTTAGTAGACATGCCAGCAACCTACAGAGACTTCAAATTCTCAGGAAACCTCTCTAGGACGGTAATACATTAACTTGTTTAGTTAATAAATTTAATAAGTAGATTTTGAGTGATGATTACTGAATACAGATATCGAGCCTCGAGGTACCATAAAAAGGGTATATAAACTTATCACTTATGCTTATATGCTTATACTATCAATGAATATCAAATCGCCTTCTCTAGTTATCAAACCCAACATAAGTTAAATCTCTGCCTACAAGGACTATTTGATATTTACAACAGACCGAGTGAATGTCTCAATCTTTTCAGGAAGCTTTATACTCCGACATCCACAATTTACCACGCCCCTGAGATCGACAAAGGTCTTTCTGATAGATTGACTTCCAGCCAATTCGATCTATCGAAGCCGAGTGGGAAGAACAAAGAACTGAAACCCCATGGTCGCAACGATGCTCCTCGCGGACAAGGGAGAGTTAGGGCCATCGGTGGTCACAAGACTGGATAATATTTATTTTTTAAGCGTTGAGGTTGTCACGAAAGCGTACTGTAACGGGACTATCAGATTTGAGTGATTTGATTTTGTGATTAGCAGTTCACGTGATTTTATTGTGATTTTAGACTGTAAAAACTATAAAGGTTCAAGTTGAACTATCGTCGCCATGATTATGTATTTTGGAACTGTTCACGTTGAAATTGCTTCGTTAATCAGCAGTCTTCCTTGGTTACTTTCTACTGTGTAATGCAGCTACGATCAACGATACTTAGCTAGTACATTCATAGTAACACTAACTGCACTGAGAAGAGTAAAAAATTTGAGCTTTGACAGAATAACATTTCCTTGTTTTTAGATACGGTTACTACTCTAGTGAGGGGTTCATAGCTGATCATTAAGGTCTTACTCACAATAATTTGTGCTCTGATATTGGCCGTACTGACGGCTGTTGAAAAAGCCACTCCGTCAGATGCGCGCCGCAAGAGTCCACCCCTGTAGACCCCACTACGTACAAAATTTGAAATTTTCCCCAAAAACTTCTGATTAAGCTAGTTTGTTTTCAATAACTTTTGCAATATTTACAGTAGACCCTTCAAATTTTCACCAAATGTTACTCCAGACATTTCTGCATGGTAACTGTGTCATAGAATTTTAATTTAGGGACCCAATTTTGTGCAACACTCCGGTATCTGACGACCGGTCGCAGACGTGGTTATTGTATTGTCAATTTCTATTGCACACTGAGCGAGCTATATTTTGAGTACAAAGATAAACTTTACACCAGGTGAAAGCTGAGACGTTTCTCTTTAAGATGATCACCTCACATTCTGTGTATCTGTGACATTGAGATAGTAACGAATCAAAACGTCAAGTTGAACAGGCTACAAAATACGCGCTGAATAAAAGTCCACCCCAGGAGTCCACCCCACGCGCGTAGGGTGATTATGCTAAAAAGTAAACTAGTAACTGACCTTAGCTTGAACTGATTAGGATCGACCGGATTTTAGATTCTGTCAAACGGAAGTGTTATGTAATTTCTTTTGTTTTAAAACAGCAGGAAACAGCTGTAGTAACGATAGCGTGTAGTAATGACCAACATACCACACACACCATATAATACTGTTACAGCGTATCAAGTTTAACATTGTCTTGGTATTACTAAACTACTGCATAATAATATGATACAGCCAAATGTTCATTAAAAGTAATATCATGTATGTCTTCATCATCGTACCACCCACGAAACTAAACACTATTACCAGTTCCCAGTACCAGTATATTCATCAGTCTGTGTGCACTGTGGCGAGGCATTATATAGAGAGTTCTGATTTATTAGCACCTACCAAAGAACCATTAACTGACGTGTAAAACAGGGCATACTGTCTAGTGTATTTCTGTACCGTATGATAAAGGGGCCAGTCAGTTCATGGGGGCGAGTGTTATACCGCCGTGATTTTAGCACCTTATTTTTAATTTTCTGGTGGCGCATTGTCCCGTTCTGCAGGGCGAGGGTTATTTCTTTTGTTAGAATCAATCATGTGGGTATAATCCGTAGCACTAAAATAATGACAGTTAACATCTCAAGTTCATATCACTATATCAATGTATTTGATTATATTTAATAAAATTGTAGTTGATAAATTATTAATGTTGATGGGGAAATATTTATATGTTTTTTTCATATTATAGTGTGATGTTACTTTGCAGAGATGTGTGATGATGTCATAAATTTGACTTAACTGTACGTTAATTTATCCCTCTATGTTTTTATAATTATCTTTAACAATGAAATATGGAATTATATAGTGTTATTGTCCTGAGCCTATTGAAATATCACGCGACTTCTTTTATACCCTTTTAACTCTGACCACGTGATATTATATTGTCAACCTTCCCTTACAAATTATAGGTAACATAGCGTGTAGAATAATTATTATATTGTTAGATATTGACATGATAATAGGTACAAATATCTGATAGATATAATATTCAAAAGACATCCAGGAAGTTATAGTATAAATTGGAGAACAGGGGCTTAACCCCCCCCCCCCCCCCCCTTGTTACTGGGTGTTACTTGGTGACTTAAACAAATCCCATCTTCTCAGGAGGATATATAGCCAACTCCCTCGCCATCATGACAGACGCGGCTCACATGCTGAGTGACTTCTCCAGTTTCTGTATCTCTCTGTTCGCGCTGTGGGTCGCAAAGAAACCTGCTACTAGGAACATGTCTCTCGGCTGGTACCGAGCAGAGGTAATTAGCGAGTTAATTAGTTTATTAATTATTACTAATTAGGGGTGAGAATTTATAATAAGGGGAATCATTGTGAATCCAGTACGTTATCAGTTTTTGGATAATTAACTTCCATCAAATTTATGGAACAAGTTAAGAAGTTACCGGCGTTCCCTCTTGTCTACTGATTAGAGATAAAATTTCCCGCATTTAGACATAAAACGCTCTAATCATTAAAAAAAACAAGTTATATTATTTTGTTATCTAAAATGTAATGAACCCTCTAACTTGCAGGTAATGGGAGCGGTGAGTTCAGTTCTGATAATATGGGTGCTGACGGGGGTGCTAGTTTACCTGGCCATCCAGAGGATGATACACAAAGAATTTGAGATCGACGCTGACACCATGTTAATCACCGCCGCCTGCGGCGTACTCGTCAACGTAGTGTGAGTATAGGTGGGTTAGGGGCAGGGGTGTGGTTACTGGTTAGGGGCAAGGAGGTGACACACTTTCAAGACACGTGACTGGGACATCTTGTTTTTTCTCGTGGAAATCTATTCCAAAAAGGCCACTCATAAAACCGTAGTTTTTTCTGGTAATAGGATTGGTTAACTGTGGGGAGGTAATTAATTTGTACAGATGTTTTCTTTCGTGAGACTGGGTGAGGGTGGCCCACGAGAAGATAACTTACTCTCACGTGTTACAACAAAATATAAATTCATTAAGAAGTAGACATTTGCCTATATTATGATTGGCTATTGAACTGGATCACTAGTCACTAAGAACACTGTGTCTACTGTCTTTAAACAGACGAATTTCTTTTATCAAATTTATGAAATTGTACGGAACAGTAATTATTGTAAGTCACAAGTATCTTCATATCAATTGCTGGTCACTTAGTTTCCAATTATTTTGGTTAATTTATCTGTGTTCGGTTAATTGTTCATTTAACAAACATTGGGCAGTGCTAGTAAGAGTCAACATACAACTACAAGTGTGTCTACACATGTTTCCTCTGCTGCTAGTAGTCACTACACATTGGTTATTTTTAATTAAGACAAATTGGAAAAGATTTTTTGCAAGATAAGTCGGGTAATGGGGGACCCATTTATATCCTATGAGTATTGCTGAAAGCACAGTGTAAGGCCTACACGGACCGCCTCTAACTAGCCAATCCCTGTTTACAATGTAAATTGTAACCTTAGATATTTATATCCTATGTAAATTGTAACCTTAGATATAATATATAACGGGTGATGACAAAAAAATGGAACTTTTTCAAATCCTTTTATCGGGTCGAGCAATTCATTTGTGGTCAAAATCAATGAAACAGTGTTAAAATTTGGACAATTTTGAACAAAAATAGTCTATTGATGCTTTTCAAACAAAGTTACAACGAATTCTTCATGTAGTGCATCCTGGGTTTGGACAGGATATGCCCGTTAAAAATATTTTCATCACGTTACATTACATAATTCTCAATAAATGTAATAGATTTGTAGTGTTGTAATTAGTTTAAAACTATGACAAACACTCAGAAGCCTCTTGCAATAGGCACAGAGCAATCTCTTTCTTACAGCCAATGAAGCGATTTGTACAGTTTGCTTGGGAATTGAGTTGGGTTGACCTTCTTTTATACATTATACATTTTTTATACTTTCGACATTTTTCAAAATTGTCTAAATTTTAACTCTGTTTCATAAAAGGATTTGAAAATTTTTTTTTTTCATCAGCCGTTATAACTTTTATATTATAATACATAAATATTATTGATATCCGTTAATAAAGTGTAGACTTGCTTCGTCCGTAATGCTCTTAACTGTTATATGTAACGAATAATGCGATGAAATACCTGGTACTAAAGACATGTGCCGGCCACATTCTGGCCCCAAAGAGTACTAATCAAATTACGATGATTTTCTGTTACACTCGCCTCATGTCTAAGTCTTGCGCTGAGATTTACTGATACATAATATACAGATTTACTGATGTTATACTACATGATACATCTGTACTGTATTTTAAACTTTACCAAATCTCCCCGGCAACACAGAGAATTTACCAAACGGCGTCCCTCCGTTAAAATGGAGTTTTCATGGTTTATTATAGTCATAACTAGCTTACAGTCACGATATGACTAATGACTATTCATAACTTTTTTGTGATTGATGTTGTTTGACAAAAGGTATTATATAATATTATATGTAATATATATTTAGTGTTTAGGGAATACTAAGAACTTTGTTGTCATCGTCAAATAGAAATCTATAATACCTTTTACAGAACGGAACTATAGATGATGAAGAGAAATTAAACATATTAACTGAAAAATCCCAAATTTCAGTGCATTTCGACCATATAAATCGTAAATAAACAACTGTCTGTTATACATGATCATTAAATCTACAATACTTAATTCACTTTACTATTGGAATATATTAAATTTCATAATCATAATAATAATATTATAATGGTTATCAGTACAACACGAATATTATATTGTCATATTGTTAAGTATACTATTTACTAAAATAACACTCTTCAGTATGGGAGTGTTACTGCACCAAGGTGGACACGGACACTCCCACGGTGGGGGCGGACACGGACACTCCCACGGTGGTGGGGGTCATGGTCACTCTCACGGCGCAACTAAGACTGAGCAAGAGAATATTAACGTGCGCGCGGCTTTCATCCACGTGCTGGGGGATCTGATACAGAGTCTGGGTGTCCTGGTTGCAGCTTTCCTTATCAAGTTTAATGTAAGTTTACTTAACTGTTTACTAAAGTATGTTCACTGTTCAGCGCAGAGTATACAGTCTATATATTATATATATAATATATTATAAACAGTTGGTAATCCTCTGAAGCAATAAATCTAGTATTTATATCAAGCTTGTTAGCTAATTGACTTTAATTTGTTACTTTGTAATTATAAGATTTCAAGGGGAGGTAGACACATTATTAAGATAGGATAAAGGAAATATTACAGACCAAACCTGGGCATTGGAAAAAATATATACTATTATGTAAACTTGGAAAACATTATACGTAACTATCGTTACGTATTACACTAGGTCTTTTATAGTCGATAAAGACCTTAGCCAGTCGATAAATATTTAGCCATATTTGATAACCAAAACGTCGTTAAACTCCAAAACTATAGCTATAACTATACTCATTATTTGTTAACCTCTCGAGTTTTGTAGTTCTGAAAGTGAAAATCAAATGATATTCTCGCTGATTTCTTCAGCAGTCCAGTGCATACATAGCTCGCAAAACTAAAAAAAGCAGAAGATTATAAATATATAAATATCGAAACGCACACACAAGTAACACACAAGCAACTGACAAGCAACACACAAGCAACACACAAGCAGCGAATTATATCTTCTATGTAATTCTCTGGTTTACACATCTGTGAATTGGGTGACATAGAGTTTACTAAGTCTAATGGTATAGGTACTACCAGCTCAAGTTTGTGCTGCTGCCTCCTCTTTCCTCCTTCCTGCCTCTGTATTCTCCTTCACACTCCCCGTTTCTTGCTCCTCTTCTCCTTTCCTCTTTTCCAAGCCAAGGTTTGCCAGCCACTCTACAACCTTAAACACTGTTATCAGAGAAACGCCCACAAATAAATCCAGCGTCCCTCCCAACTCTCCTATAAAGTTCCTGAATGAGTAAGCAGCAGTTTGTACCTCTTTAACCCTCATCAGTACTTCCTGGTAAAACACTAACTTTACCAGGTTCCTCTGAGCCTCCTCCAGGCTCCTGTAGTGCGGGTATCTGGCGGACAGCTTACTCTGCCACAGTCCAGCGCTGGGGAAGTTACTAGAGGCAAGATTGTAACTTGTCTTGTTGTACGAGCATGGTTCCTTGCACTCCATTGGCTTACTACTCTCGTCTCCGTGCATCATGCTGTCTATTAACATGTTCTGACACATGGCTTCTGTGGTAAACGAACACTCCTCCAACTGCAGAGTACAGTCAACTGTGCCCCGCTGGACTCTGTACTCCAAATCCTCACTTAGAATGGCTGTTTCGTCAAACAGAACGCACTTTTCTTCGTATTCTGCTTCTTGTTGACTTGTAGGAGTCCACATAAATAGACACAGTTGTCTGTTTGCTTACACTGTTCAGCACACAGCACTGCTGAAGAAATAGAGGGTAGGGTCTTTAGAGAAGTTCCACTGTAGGAGAACTGATCCTGATAGTAACACGTACTGTTATCAAACTCTATCCTCTTCTCTTGGCTGATCCCCTGTGTAAAATACTGATAAATGTGGTGTTCCAGTTCGGTGTCTCTAGTTGGTGGGGGGTTGATGTGCCTGGTGTAGATGTACCAGGGGTAGCACTTACATAGGGGCTCCCTCATGTACTGCCACAACACTTGGTTTCTGAAACACTCCTTTACTGTCAGAGTGTCATCCATGTTTATCCCCTCTTTTGTTTCCTCCTTTTTATCAGTTGTTGAGCGTGCACTTGATTTGAAGACGTCCTCCTCGTTTTTACAGGTCCCGTGTCTCGGTTCAAGTCTGGTTATTTCCGTGGTTTGGAGTTGAACGAATGTTTCTTTTCCTGGACTCACCGCAAAAGCGTATTCCTTGTTAAGCACAGTTTCGTTGGGCATTCTTAAGAGAACAAAGAACCCTTCAGTCTCAGTAGATTCCAGGTAATGTTCTGTGCGAGTGTCCAGTATCATTGAGAGACCCCCTATTCGTCCATTAACTCGCTGTACCAATATCTCCTGGTCATTCACTTCCAGACAGCTCCCCATCTCGGTAAACCGTATTGTTAGGTAGTCCGACTCCCTGTTCGCTGGTAGTACTTCCTTCGCAAATCTGTGTGTTATAAGTTTTGATAGTATTACAGAATGAAAAGGTGGGTACGGCTGGAAGAGGAGGGGGCTCAACCGTAATTGAAGTACCGGGCAATTTCCTGGTTCATCAAGATCCAGCTGCACTGAGCCGGAGCCCCCTCCTCCTTCAAAATGTATTCAGTTACTTCTCGACAAGAATGTGGAAGAATTAATTTTGAATTTCTTTACTGACGTGAAAGATTGTAGATCAAGAGTTGATCTAATGTTCCAGCTATATGTCTGTTGTGCGTGCATTGAGTCAATCCTCTCATATGGGAGGTCCTTCGATGCTACAGACCTGGCGCTTGACCTGTCCTATTGATAGCAAGCATGATATAGACGTATTATTCTTAAGACAATGATAACGTCATATTATCATTATATCAATACCAATCGTCATAAAATAATAATTGTGATCCTAGTATCATTCAGTTTAAAATCTTGTTTTGGTTTTCTGACTTTCAATCTATGTTCTGAAATCATATCAAAATATGAGTGTACCTGATGTTTCTCCTGAAGATCCTGGAAGAGCTTGTAAACACTAACAGTGGTGTTAAACCCGCGTTTCCCCGCTACCTCAATCTTGTCCTCCTCCATCTTGGTCTTGTTCATGAGGTTGATGTTACAGATGGTAATGGCGGGGAGGTAGTACTCGTTAGTGAACTCTGATGAGAGCTCTGTGTAAGAAGGATATGTCAGCCAGTCCTGGAGCAGCTCTGCTGTTAACCACACACCCATACCAAGCATCAGTAGTCCTATAACACACCATATCAACCTGGGTTAATTCTCTAGTGTTCCGACAGTTGTAGTTATCACGAGTTTTTAGTTATAAAGTGCGACCATTACTCAAGACAAGGTTAAACTATTCTCTTAACGATTGTTGACCGGCTATCAAGAGGCTGTTTACTGTTTGGCGGCTGTTAACCAGTTTTTAGCCATCTATTAATAAATTGTGGCTTACTGTGGCTAGTATTATAATAAGTGGTGGCTTATTGTTCATAGATCATAATTTGTCAACCAAGTCTCTCATTGATTAAGCCATAAAAGGATAGAATAATTAGTAGTTGGAACAATATTACCTGGGTATGAAGTGTCTGTAGTTGGTTACAGAGTTCACATATTTATTATCAATCTGCGCTCTTCTGGATGGACAGAAAGATTTAATAAAATATAAATCTGTCTTTTAAAGCAATTCGTGTCATTTCTTGTGGATATTATCTTGATTTAAAACTGCCATTATGATAACTTATCATTGATAAGGAGTGCCATGCTAATTAAATCGTTTAAAACGACAAAGCGTTTGTTTTCAATAACATTCTCGAGGAAAGAAATGCGATTTATACTACAACCAAAACGTTGCAAACAGATTAAAAACTCACAGTTTTTCCAGTTGACTCATTCTGTAAACGACACAGGCCGAAGTGTTTCCTTGTTGGCAGTGTGTAATATTTTTAAACAAATCTTCTGGGTTTTAAGCGGTCATAATTTGATAATATTGACCAATATACAACTTGTAAGATCAACTTGCAAACTATGTATACATATTACAGATAAACATTAAACAAGTGGTACCACATCTCAAAAAGTAGCCATTTGATATTCTGAAAAAAGTTTCAAAGCTGCAATGCGCATAACATATCCTCATCGCTATCAGTTAGCGAGCCTAACTGAAAATACAGATTAAACTGTGAAACTAGAAATAACCAAACGTGCTAAGGAGTTACAAACTGTGAGAAGGCTTTATAAGAATAAATACTAGGGACTATACAAGTAAACAATACTGCTTCGGGATTACGCTTACAGGAAATATACAGTAACCACACTCACACGGTCGACTCTGAATATTTCAATCGACCGGGTATTATGTGGGTATTATACCGGGTATTATACTAATATATAATATATAATAACTATATTAAACTAAGCGTCTGTGGTGTAACTGTGATCGACAAGACACACTGGAAACACACTCGTTAGCTCCATTGCTGTTCAGTATTTGTTTTGTATAATACATACCTCCTTAGTGGCATTAAACTTAGTACTGTGATAGGAAACTAGTGGTTACTCGTTAGCGTCAGATGGTATAAGGTACCTGGCAGCAAGATATAGGCTTAGACAACATGTTAGGAGGTACTTTGTCGATAAAACAAAGTCCAGACTACAGAGATGTGGAGAGAACAGGTTGAGCTGCAGTTTGCATTGTTTACCTCGCTAAGCTTAACATGGGTCTTTTTGTCTGAATCACGGGTGATTATAACATATTTTATGGAAATTTGTAAAGCCTGACCATGCTCGTTTGTGTATATCCTTCGACCTTCATGTATTTAATGAACCCTGAATACGCAGACCTGTATAACCTACAATTGAATCGTACTTAACTCAGATCTAAACTAGTCACTTGAGATACATTCAGCGAATACGAACTAACGTCCCAGCTGAAGACTTAACATATCCAAGGGGCCAAGCACTATACATATTATGGTAATCATAATTATGTGCAAGGGCTTTGCGCTTGGTGTTATCATACTTAATTAATAATTATGTATACTATTTAAAACTTATCTAAAGTTAATTAATTGCTAATTACTTCTAATTAATTTCTAATTAACCCGTCATGATAACACCCCTCTATTTCAGCCCACCTGGTCGTTAGCAGATCCCATCTGTACCCTGGTATTCAGTGTGATAGTTCTCTTTACTACACTCACTATAATGAAGGATGCAGTGCACGTCCTTATGGAAGGTAAGAGATAATATTAATGTTTTTATTCACAATAAAAGATCACGCTTACGTCTAACTTGATAAGGTGAACCACAGTATTTACTTATCTGGAACAGGAAGTGATAGATTTAGAGTCCCATTTTCTTGTAACTTAGTTATTAACTTTAACCAGGTTATTTAATCCAAATTTGGAGCATCCTACACCGTATTTATGTGATCCAAATTATGGTTTTAACCGGCTATATTATATGCAAATTTATTATATTTATAGATTGTCACGTTCATGTCACATTTTAGAAACTTCTCGAACGTACTATCAGAGCTGCTAGTGTTCTATAATATGAGCAAATGTCATGCTCGCTGCCCAAGTTAATGTCTTTTCTTGGAAAATAGCAGTATTTCTTGGTATTGATCAGATATTGGATATTAGAGATATTGGTTGTTTTAGAGTTCACTAATATACACGTTCTCCTCAGGAGTACCCAACAATATTAACTAAAGATTATCCCCCTCAGGAGTACCCAACAATATTAACTACAAGATGATGGAGGATGACCTAAAGGAGCTGTCTGGAGTTGTGGCGATACACAATCTACACGTCTGGTCTCTGACTCTCGACAAGTCTGCTCTCGCTGTCCATCTAGCTATAGGTTCGTATTGTCTAGTCTTTACCTAGTGTCTTTTTTGAACTCATGGGCTGATTTTTAGAATGAAAATTTGTTGGTCACATGATAAATTGAATAGTTTTTGCATAATACGCTTTTAAAATGTTTAAACTTATAAGACAATTGTTTTACTGTTCTGTGTTTGCATCTCTCATTAACCTTGCTACTTTGCTAGTTGCAAGTATAAATGATATGGTCCGTTATCTTCATATCTTAATTACTTAATTATCTAATTATATAATTACCCTCAGACCCTAACACGAGTACACAAGAACTGTTGAAAGAAGCTAATAGACTACTTAAGAAGAAGTACCGAATATCACATTGTACAATTCAGATAGAGTTTTATCAGAGAGCAATCATGGAGAACTGTAAAAAGTGTCAACCTCCCACAAAATAACAGTAATAATCATATTTCGTAGGGTTCTTTGTTTACTTTCACTTCATGAAGTTCTAGCAATTGTAGATAATTTTCATCAGTTTCATTATATTGATACATAGGATAAAGCATTCACTCCAACAATTAATGTTCGCTGAAGAATGAAGATCTCTTATATTCTGATTTCAAGTTCTGTCGAGCTCAACGGCGAAAATTTACTGCTTTACAGATGTTTTTCACGGGATTTACCTTCGTTGATCTTCAATTAAAGACACAATTAATTGCTGCATACGCACAGCCCATGATAGCCAAAGAATTGACGTTTTTCACGTTTGTAAAAATCGAAATTTTATATGTAAGTTAAACGATTCTGGTGAATATATCAGCGTGGTGCTAACCTAAAAACTTGGAAAACTCGGTCAAGTGGCTGTTTTATCGATATAATTTGATGAAATTGTATAAAGATGTTTGAGAATATGTCACCAGTTTTTCTACGTTTTGTACTGATTTTGTTGTTGTTTGTTGATGTTTGGCATCTCTTTGCGGATGCAACAATTTGCTATATTTCAAGATTTATTTAGGTTATATGATATGGATACCAAGCTATGATGTACCTTTTTCGTGCGCTTTTTAGTGGTTTTATTTTATTACATGTAACAATTAAAAAAATGTCTAGAGGTAATGAATTTTAATGCGTAAAGAGGACTCTGTTTAGTAATTTAATATCTGTTAGTGTTAATAGTCGCTACTTTCAGAAGTCAGAATATTAACCTGTGCATGAGCTTAGAGTAATAAGTGGACCTTATTTGTTTCAGTAATTGAAGTTGATTAAAGTTAATTTTGATAATTTTTTTTGAGTGAGTATGTAGCTTTCTCACGAACTGCTTATTTGGCTAAAAGGTGAGATAGGGCGTAGTCTTAAACAAAGTCTAGAACTAACGTCTTGTTAAAAGGTATAATTAACAAAGATTCAGAACAATCTCATCGTTTTAGTCCAAATTTCCTTGTTTTCAAAGCTTCATGACTTTCCATCTGTTTTCAACAAACCAAAATGGCCATGGTGCTCAGTAATCAACTAAACATCTTTATTTTAACTAGTTATCTGTGGTTTACGATGAAAGATTAAACAGACGTTATATAACATCATATTATTATTAACATATTTGCTTGCGATGTTCAGATATTAAGATTTTAAATGTCACGCCGGCTCACTCTCAACATTATATTCTGATAAAAACTCATGTGAGTAACCGTTGTCTCTAGCTTATAATACAATGAACTTGTGTCGTAAATGATTTTAAATTTACAATTCTAAATTTGTGTTCTTCACTTTTTATCGCGAGCCTGCAGATTCACAGATGTGAACATGTCTAAAAATGTAACTGATAGGAGTTCAAATGGTTTGAGTCAGGAACAAGTGGTGCTGATCAAGATATCATCCCCGGGGGAAGGTATCCTGCTTATTATAGTGTTAATTGTAGCAGTTAATTAGTTAAAATATAATCTGCACACTTGTAATCGAAGTACAACTGTCAGTATGATAAGAGGCGAGATAAATTTGATAAGAGGCGAGAGAAGATAAGATCCTAAACTAATGATAATTGCCTGATTATATCAGATCCTGTTAATTTTTTAGATAGTTCTGCCATAGTATCAATAAATTCTTTGACAGACAGGAAAGCGAGATACTTCGTCATCATAGTTGTATTTTCTCATGGATCTGCCACAAGGTTTCTCAGTATAAGTAGACCAAACAGATAGTTGTTACTGTAGATAGGTTCCGACAACAAGAGTGCTGCCATAGTACAGTAACAAGTACATACTATGTTCGAGGAGAGGGTAATTATAAAACCCCTTAATCAAGGGGTATAATTTTATTTAATAATTAATAATATTATGAAGGAGCACTTCTAACCTGCTACCCTAATATAACTACAGTATTGTTGGGATTGTTGTGTGATGAATCTCATATTGTCATTTCGTTGTGAACCGTATTTACCCATGTTACAGAAACCTTCGTTATTACCATGAATATTGAGTATAATGTAGAATGTAGACCGTTAATAAAGGCTTGTGATATAACGGATGTAATAAAGTAAACTTTCCCACACTTCCGCCTTACATTTAACACACTACCTCTACTCCTCAATCAAACCATATTTGGCTCCCACGTTTCGCACTTCTTATTGGTCAATGCCATTCCCGCCATTTCGCTTAGCACTAGATACATACCTACACACTTCACATCATCTACCTTGTTCACCGTACGTTATTTGCTATACAAGTTTGTCGTCGTATGAGCTAATTTTTTATCATGAATACGATGTTGTCACATTGAAAGAAGGGTTCGGAATTTAGAGGACACATGGGTGTTAGTTACAGATTGTTGTTATTCATCAAAACAACTGCATTATGGTGAGGTGGCGAATATTTGGTACTTATATAAACCAGCCGTACCTTGCTATCTTGTAAACAAACCGTTGTAACAACCGTTCTTGCCATCTCAATAACACTACTTTCAAACAGCTCAGTTCTTGCAGCTTGCCACTTCTAGGAACTAGTTAAGACTCAAAATATCTCTTCTTGAACGCAATCGACCTGTTCCGTATGTAACTGTGCATGAATGATGAATTTGATTATATGAAGTATTTCTGTAGTGATAATATTTCTTCTGACGAACTGAATTTTAAGAACATACCTTTTACAAATAATTCGCAGACAAGTCTGGTTATCTTACTCTTTTTAATGAATCTCTACTATAATTCAGAGAATTCCCTTTGTAGAATTCTGTAGAATTGGAAGTGCTGTCTACTTTTTACATGGTTAAAGTGTGTGTTCCTGTGAGCTAATATAAAATAAGTATAAAATATGAAATGAATACAAGTCTCCATTCTCCAAGCACCCAGATGTGATAAGAATATCATGTTATAAACTTTGCAATGCAGTACAAACTATGATAAGAGACAGTATTGTATTTCTTATCTGTTTTACAGTTCTCCCTTTCTCTCCTCTGACGTTTCTTTTGCGCAACTTTTCCTTATACGTCTTGTAAACTTATTAAAACCATGCTAATAATAATATTATGAGATTGTAATATATTATCCCGGTAATACTAGTATGCCGAGTAATAATTACCTGGCATCCTATATTTTCCTGGTACTAAATTAACTAATTTACCATTTTAAATAACATCTGTCGAACTGTTCTCTCCCCGTATGATATTCAATACTTATCGGGTGTTTATTGTTCTCATTTCTAAAGATGTCTAAAATCGGTATTAAATGTATAACATACGCATCATCACCACTAGTTCACACTGTTATTATTCTTACAGCTAGTAGTCAATAACTACACTATTTCAAATACATTACCATGCACTGTAAAAATTAAGTTGAAAAACAATAGTTTAACATTAGATACACAGCAATGTGTTGTCACGTATGTGTATTAAATAATGAGTATTGTGCTTCATAATAAGTCAGTAAAGTACAAGCTTTATTGATTTTCAAGGATACTCCAATATTCGGTAGACTCTCTGGGCACAGCGTAATGTCTTACACATATTAATGTAGCTATCTTTAGAATTGTAACAACTTTTTTATTAATTAAAGGTAAGATTCTGTAGAAATCACACTCGCTATAATCTCTTGAATATGAGCTCTACTGCATGCTGTCTCCTACTCAAGGTCCAAATACCATGTCTGCAGTGATAATAGGTAGTACAGGCATCACCTTACAATTGGTAAATTTGGTTAAATACACACTTTAACAATAGTTCACACCCCTTAGGCCTTATCGGCTTATCATAGAATATATTATTGTTACAACACCCTTTATCACCTTATTAACAGAGACTAGATTGCACTGGTAGTCTAGTTTACTGTATATCACTTAATTAGCGTGCTAATAGGAACTGGTTATCATATCAGTGGTTTTATGGACGGTTCCGACGGCCAGTAAGAGTACTAAATTGAACAACCACATATCTTACAGAATATAGGTCTGAACTAGCGAGGTAGGACGATGTTTAGTAGAGATAAGATAGTAGAGTTTGAGGTGCAGGATGTTCGTTACCCCACCTCCAAGACGCTGGATGGGTCTGACAGTGTCCACACCGACCCCGACTACTCTGTAGCCTACGTCACACTCACCACAGACAAGGGAGTCTCTGGGTACGGGATAACCTTTACTTTGGGGGCTGGAACTGATGTGGTAGTTAAAGCTATTGAGCTGCTGAAACGTAAAGTACTGGACAAATCACTGCACGACATCTTCACTAACTACCGAGCTTTTTACCGGTCCCTGACCCAGGACTCCCAGATGCGGTGGTTGGGCCCTGAGAAGGGTATTGTGCACCTGGCAACCGCTGCGGTTACTAATGCTGTGTGGGATCTGGGAGCTAGACTGGCTAACAAACCACTGTGGAGGTTTGTAGTTGAAATTCCCGTGGGAGACCTGGTGGCTATGATAGACTGGAGCTATCTGAGTGATGTTATCAGTGAGGACGAGATAATGGAGATGCTGAGTGAGGGTGAACATGATAAGGAGAAGAGGATCAAACATCTGGAGGAGAGAGGATATCCTGCTTACATTACTTCTGTGGGGTGGTTAGGATACTCTGATGAGAAGGTCAAGAGGCTCACCAATGAGAAACTCAGTGAAGGCTGGACTGCTTTTAAGATGAAGGTTTGTGAGCTCCTTTCATTGAAGCTCTTGAGAAAACAAGATAATTTTGTTACTTTCGTTCCAGGGATTGGCTCTATTAATAAGTGTAGATTAATAGATTAGCATGGCTTATAGAATCAAAAACTTTATTTAACAGGTGGGTATAAGCCAAGAGGACGACATGAGACGTGCCAAGCTGATAAGATCTCTTATCGGCCCTGATAACAAACTTATGATGGATGCTAACCAGATATGGGACGTCAAAGAAGCAATAACACGAATGAAACAACTAAAGAAGTATGATCCGTACTGGATAGAAGAGCCCACATCTCCTGATGATGTAGACGGACACGCTCAGATCAGCATGGCATTAAGAGAACACGGAATCGGAGTAGCCACCGGGGAAATGTGCCAAAACAGGGTCATGTTCAAGCAGTTCCTGAAACTGCACGCCATGCAGTTCTGTCAGATTGATAGCTGCAGAACAGGCGGTGTGTCTGAAGTTATTGCTATCATGGTACTTGCTAGGAAGTTCGGAGTTCCTGTGGTCCCTCACGCGGGGGGAGTGGGACTGTGCGAACTGGTCCGGCATTACTCTATGATTGATTACGTACTGGTGTCTGGTAAGATAGATGATAGAATGTGTGAGTATGCTGAGCACCTTCACGAACACTTCACTGACCAGGCTGAGATTAAGAATGCTAGGTATGTACTGCCGTATAGACCGGGATTCTCTTGTGAAATGACAGAATATGCGGTAGATACATTCAGATTTCCTGATGGTACATATTGGAACAATTGAGCATTAAAAAACCCGCTCACTTAAACGGAACGTTTTTATGGTGTACCTACTGATAGTGAAATTACATTATCTATACGGCACGGGGTCTGGGCCGGCGACCCTGTTCTTATGATTAAAATGAATTATGTGACTTGATTAACGTTTATACACTCTTACATCTTGGCCTTTGATTACATTATTATAGTATTATACAGAATTCAAATAATGGATCGATCGTTTATCTACACTTACTACTTAGAACTATGTAATGTTGTAATTGAATATAGAGATGTTTAACAATTGGGACGCCTGAGACGGTCATAGCCTGTAAGCGTATATTGTGTGCGGCGCGACCACAATTATGTGTTAAAAACACGCCAAATATATTTCAGCACTGTTATAGCGCGGCTTAATGCATGATAAATTAATAACAAACTTAAAATGTGTTAATTATGTCTGCTTTCATCGATCATGCGTCCAAAATCAAAAAGAAGATGTTTAAACTACATGAATTAGCTCTATCCCGGCGTGAAAGCACATGGTTAGCTGAACTACATTATCAAGTGGGACTATCTAGAAAACTTTGCTGAAATGGAATGGATATTGACCATTAACAGCTTCAAACGTTGCGTATTTGGTGTTGCCAAAGTATTAGTAGACGCTCTTACGGGCAAAAAGACGTGTTTTCTGCTACGAGTTTAGAGACCTAACCGCTTATTGGACACAATAGTATGATGTCTAAGGATCAATGATATGTTCAGAAGTATAAATTTGGCCTTATTAGTCACGTGCTATACTAATGCGCGTTTTAAACTTTGACAGTCTATTACTCTAAGGCAAATAAAGTAATTATATTCATATTTTGTCAGCAATAAGATCACATTGTTTTCTATTTGGTGTGAAAATATGAGCTAGAACGGACATAATCTCGCTGAGTTATAGCTGTTTGAAATTTATGATGAACGCGCGGATAACAATTGATAACAACTAAATGCTTTTGCGCGTAGTGCGCGTCGAAAATTTGGCAAAAACGCTTGCGGAGTGACAATATTCAAACTTCGATAAAGTATATGAAGTGGGTACTTCTCGGAAAGGAAAAATTAAGGCAAACACGATGTGACTATTTTTGGGTTGATTTAATACAACTGCAAAAAATTATTCAAACTTTTGTATCACGTTGCGACCCCCACGGTCGTTTCTGACGATACAGGGGGAGCCGCGCACTTCGTGCGCGGCGGGTCATACAACGTATGACAATCAAACTTCAAGCAAAAAAGTTAACGGGTGATACTCGTAAAATATCTGTTCCAACTCGGCGCGCGTCCTGGTAGGTTGTAAACCTACAAGCAAAAAAGTCAAAATTTTTACCACTTTTTTGGATTTTTACCCCCAAAAAAATAGAGAGATTTTTCAAATTTTTAAACCATCTTGTGCGGCTGTGTTTTAGCTATCTCCATGCAAGTTTTGCCGACATGCCAACAAAATTAACTTGTTCAAAATATCAAAAAACATGGTTTTTTGGCCTATTTTTTGCCCAAAAATCGGTTTTTTTGCGATTTTACCCCCAAAAAGTCAGTCCAATAATCTTAAAACCACTTTTAATCGATTCTACGGTCAAAAATACGTATAGTAAGGTGTATCTGGGTCCCTAGCGTATCGAGCAGACAATGCCCGTAAGAGCCTCTACTATATGTCGATTTAATGTAAGACAGTAAGACACTTCCCTACAATAATTACGTTTGCGTTGACATTTAATTGACGATGTCAATTCATGGCAGCTCGGCGCGGCACAGTAGTGCATCTCGCCGATCTATCTAGCCAGGTCGCTGTGAGAAGCCTTATTGAGTGCGCGGCGCGACACAGTAACGCATCGCGCTACAACGTTGACATGTAAATATTGTATTGAAATTACACCGTACTATTGTTATCTATGTCTAAACTTAACCCTTTTTGGTTTTCGCGTTATGTGTGTACATCATTTTAGCAGCTTCCATTAATTGCCATTGAATTGCGTCCTTTTGTTTGTAGGTTTATAACCTACCATATAACCTATATGGAACAGATATTTTGCAAGTATCACCCGTTAACCTTTTGCTAAATGTAATTACAAATAAATATTGGGAAACGTATTTGATTCACGATGTCAATCCTTCGCAGCTCGGTGAGGCACAGTGGTGCATCTCGCCGATCTACGAGAAGAATTATTGCGAGAAGAATTATTTGATGCGCGGCGCGACCCAGTAGTGCATCGCGCTACAAGAAACGTATACATTTATAAATGTTAGTAATCAAAATAAATTTAACATGAACATTACATCGAATTGCGAATATAATATACGATGTATAATAATTGATGATAGAACAAACCACGTTCTGGAATTCAATTTTGCCGAAGCATAATACACTTATCTAGCATTAGCGAAAAATGTTTGTAAAACACGCCGCGCACTAAGTGGTGGTGAGAGACTTTTGTAAAATCGGAAATCGAGCGTTACAAATTTATTTCTCATTTCTGTGCAACTGCATAATGTGATGCTACATGTGTGGTCTACTGGTAACATCCTGTATGAATTTTGGCCGGGTTCATAACCATAAAGTGCCGAAATAACATGATCACTTTGGTCTACCTGCTGTGAGGTGTCTCAGCAGTACGAGGTTTGTGAGTCCATCGAAACCATAATGTTAGATTTGGAAAGTGGACAAGCCTGTGTAACACTTTTCCTTCCACAGTTGAGGCACTTCCCCATTTAGAATACAAAGATTAGTACATTTTAGCTTATGATTAATATTATAGTTTTACCTATAGTTTACCTAGATTGGTCATTTTGTGGTCGACCCTATGTCAGCAGAAGTTACCATTGCTGAATTTTCTTTCTGTATTTATTCATAATTCAAATCATAACACACATGATACAACTAACTTCTGACTTCAGTTTAAGATTTACTTTTGTCTAGGATGGAATCAAAATGTGATTGGTTTAATCCACCACTTGCTCTTCAAATGTTGGTTGTTTTTCTTGGTAGTCTTGTAACAAGATTTATGAAACTATGTGATCCTGATGTTGTGTGCTGGGATGAAACACATTTTGGTAAATTTGCGAGCTTTTACTTGAAATCTGAGAACTATTTTGATGTCCATCCTCCTCTTGGTAAAATGATGCTGGCATCATTTGGAGAGATGTCTGGATACAATGGAAGTTTCTCATTTGAGGAATCAGGACAAGAGTATGGAGAGACAAATTACTGTGCAATAAGAGGATTTTGTGCGTTACTTGGTTCAATTGTCCCTCCTTTGATCTACTCAGTTGTCCATTCACAGGTAAACTACTTTTCTCATAAGCTTATACATCAAACTAATAACTATCAATAATTTACTCTTCTTTGATTCTGCAAAATTTTGAACTATTAAACTTCAGATTACTGATCGATGGCACGCATTAACTGTAAAGCACTAACCTATTAATACTATTTTTTACAGATTTCTAGAAATGCTGGAATCATTTGTGCATGTCTACTGATTTTTGACACTGGCTTGATTACTTTGACACAGTTTATACTATTAGAGTCGCCTCTTTTCTTCTTTCTTGCAGCTGTTTTAGCTATGCATCAGCTAACAAGGTATTATACTTCTTCTGATTGAGTGCTGAAAACCATTTGTTTATCACTAAGTTTATCTCTAATCTGCATCAATATAAATCAGCACAAAAAAATTTCAAATCATATATATTATGAATTATTTGCAATGTGCATGCCAATCTGTAGGTAAGCAAGATGAATTTTTAAAAATAAATCGCTGATCTTAACCACCCTCCTCAGAAGCTGTGAAATTTATAGTTGGTTTTGGATCTGTTTCATGGTGATAGCTGGGGCATCTGTCGGTTGTATCATCAGTGTCAAATATATTGGCGTTTTCACGGTCCTTTACATTGGTTTCTTGGTAAGTCAGCCAAAACATCTCTTCTGGTTTTTAACTATTTATGATTTTGCATCATTTTGTACTGTTTTAGTTATGTTTATGTTTTTTGCAGGGCTACAACTGCTCAATATTAATCCGAATTAACATCAGGTTATAGAGGACATTTGGAGGATGATTTCAGACAATAACTACAACCTTAAAGACGTTGCCATCTATTTTGGTGCATTTGCTTCCTTTTTCATTATACTACCGGCTGTTCTATACATCCTATTCTTTGTTCTTCACTTCCGCTTCACACTGAATAGTACTGATGCAGATTCTACTTACAGTCCTGCCTTTCAAGCCAGGTATAACCGGGAAATTATCAGTGGTTGTGATAATAGTAATGCAATCTTTTGATCTATAATGGAATAAAGCTGCTTGAAATATATTTAAATCATGTGATTAGAGGTATAACATAATAATAATACTTAGTTAATTAATACCTACCCAAAGTGCTATTGATATGTGAGGAAAATGATATGGCTTTTTAATTAACGTAATCTGGAAATTTAAATGACTGGAAAAGTAACCTTGTTTAACAACTAAAAACTAGTTTGATAGGTAACAAAGTTACAGATGTCAAGAACAGCCAGTACTTGAGCTATCAGAACACAGTTCGGTTTAAGACTGGTAATTTCCTGCTCCATTCTCACCACCTCACCTATCCGGACATCGGGCTAAATCAGGTAATATTAAAAAGTGGCTTCTAACAAATAATATTTATAAAATATATTAAAAAATTATAATCTCACCACCCTTAATTTTAAAACGTTCTAATATTCCCTACTCTTCAAGGTGACAGGGTATGGACACAGAGATGAAAATAATAAATGGGAGGTAGAGAGATGTCTGAGTACTCCAGGTTATGGGGACTCTGTTATTGTATCTGGTGACATGATCCAGCTCCGACACATTGCTACTGGGCGATACCTTTCAGTTTTACCAGATGTTGCTGGGGTTACTGACTTAGCAGACAATCGAGTAGGTTGCAGGTTGCATTCTTTCTCATGTTAGATACTGTACATGTATTATTGTCCAAATCATTCCGGCAGATTGTTTATACCATTTAAGGGTGGGTTGATTGTATATCCGTCTATTTATTGTAGTATAATGTGTACCTTTTCTGGTTATTCTACTCACAATTTTCACGAAATCCATTGTCAGGTCGTAACAACAGAGACTAGTGACCTTAACAGCTGCCTTCAAGTAACAACGTCCGATCTCACTCACAAGTTTAAGAAGATAGAGACATTTCAAACAGACGTTGTAATGTTCAGTCTAAACAACAAATGTGCTCTGAAGATTGGGAAGAAGAAACTTCCCGAGTACGGAGCGAAACAACTTGAGGTTTGTACTAGCTTTTTAGCGCTTTAGACTTTGTTTTTATAGCTCCATCAACTATACGTGGAAGTTTAAAATCTGCGTATATTATATAATAAGATGCTATTTACTAATTAGTAAAAGATTCACTTCATAAACATGTGATAACATAGCACATTGATCAGGTAACGTGTACAAGAAGACACGTACGCAACCCTGCCTTAGTGCACTTCACTCTAGAACACAATATATCCCCGGTTGAAGCTGATAATGTTCAGGGTATCCTGCCGGCTGGGTTCTTTAGCAAACTCTACGAGATGCAGGTTCTTAATTAATAATTGAAGTTAACAAGAATGTAATATCATCATACATTAAATAAATCGTCATTAATCGTAATTTTTCATGAATTATCCTTGTACATCAGGATGTAATTGATTCGGTATAACCTCACAGTTCCCCATTACAATTGCTAAACCACTCCCTACCACAGTGGGCTGTGAGTGGGGGTCATGCTAGCATAGGGTATTTTAGACCATCACACATGCCCCTAACTTTGTTTCTAAGGTAATTTGGGTACAAAAATACGATTCCAATCATTTACAGGGCCGAAAATGTCTCAGAAAAAATTTTTGGGCCGATTTTGAGCAATCTTGTAGTCCAAAAATAGGAGGCTGATCCCAGGAAAAGTTGTTTTTTTAGAGGTTTAATCAATTTTAAAGCTCTTTTATGAACTGTAAACGAAGGACAGCTATCTTAGGAACTCGAATCTTTTTGAATTATGAAAAAATATTGATCAGAACAAAAGTTGTGCCCATTTATATGACCAAAATTTTCTGAAACACCAAAATTGTTCCTGTTATTTTCAAAAATTTCGTTTAAAATCACGATTTTTTGGATTTTTATCAATTTTAACCATAATAATTGTGATATTTTGATTTTTCATCCATATGCATCTGGTCTAGGATGCAAAAAATGCCACAAACATGGAGAATAACTAAAATACGTCAATTTAATAGCAAAATTGAGCTCATAAATTATCTAAAAATGCAGCAAATTTTACCCAATTTTTGAGTTTCTTAATTTTGTAAACAGAGTTGCCCAAAAGTGCCCAAAGTGATTCTTATTGCATCTGATAGGGAATTGTCTAAGCTTTCTGATGATACCATGCATTATACCGAACTATTGCAAACCAACAACGATTTCTGTCGTTAAATACCCCAAAAATTGCCTAAAATACACGCCATAAAAAAGGCGCGGTCAAAAATCAGGTGAAAATGTTAAAGTCACACAGTTTTTTTTAGATGGCTGAGTATTCTTAAGTACTATACTATATTTCAATTATTAAAAACTGCCTTGATCAGGCATTTTAGCCCAAAATAATAAATATTAGGCAATTTTTGGCTAAAAAAGTCAAAATTTCTTGACAGTGAAAAATGCTATTTTTTCACGCGACGCCATTTTGGCATCTTGCAAAGTTTTTAATTACGGTTTCTTGCATGAAATCGGGCTAGCGTTTTACAATAAGGAAAGCTTATTTTCAAAGAAATTTAAGAAAGTCGATTTTAGGCCTATGCTAGCATGGTAGCCCACTGTGCCTACCCCAGATAAAGATGCTGGTGACGAATAACGCTCTCCTCCCCTCTGAAGAGGAGCCTTCCTCCCGACCCTGGATGTGGCCTGTTAACTGGAAGGGTTTGTGGTTCGCTCTCAGTCACCAACATGGTGGAGTCTACTTTCTTGGTGGGTATTTTAATGAACATAGTTCCAATCTTCAATGTCATGTTATTAGTCCTACATCTCATAATGGTAACTCACACCCAGTCTATACAGCATAGCCAAATTAACCAGGCCACGGCAGCTTTATGAATATAGCTAATAGGTAGAAATAGTTAATTACAAATATAAGTATAACAAACATTTGACATACTGTATTGTATCAATCGTAACACCGGAAGTTCAACAAGTCTGTTTAATTGACAAGACTTTACCCGTGGCCCGCCTTGCTCCTCTTGTTTCCTACACAGTGTTTCTGTTGATTAGATAATTAGTTGATTAGTTGAGTTCGATCTGTTCACTGAGCAATGCATCAGGTGTGAGCTTAGCCCCTCTGTAAAGATAAAGCTGTATTACAGTGTATGCCATGTGTATTGCGCAAAGTGTATGTAACAGCTGCCTATCATAATTTGTAACGTGGATTGAAATTAGCTGTGAGCGTTTCTACAAGATCTTGATGTGTGAAAATATAATTGTTGAAATTGCGAGATTGTGTTACTTGAGGTGTAGATGATTATGTTTTACAATACTTGACTTATCAAATAACGGAGTAGTTCACTGTTTATTAGTCTCATGATTGAAATACTGATATCTGGATATTATAAAACTTTTAATACTTTCAACACTACTATATAACAAATAATTTGAGCCTGAAGATGGCGTTGACGCCGAAAATTTGCCCTTACTCCTAACTTCCTTGTTTCACTTGTCCTTGTCTCTTCCAACCGGATAATATCCAGATATCAATACTTGACTTATCATATTGTAATACCGACCGGGTATAACAGGCTGTTTGAGTAACGGTTAAAAGTGAATCTATTCTATTTAATGATTATATGTCCTTTGATAATAATTTTAAATCTATGCTCAATGATTTCTACGCTTTCAGGGAATCCTGTTATATTCTGGACAAACTTGGTAATGATATTCGTGCTCCTGGCTATCAACATAATACAAGCTTATTCGCAACTCAGGGATAGAGTAAGTTGGGATTCGATTAAAATTACATTAGCTTAAAATTGGATCAAGACATTAAATTTCAGAATCATTTTTGTGAGATCTAGAAACTTGAAATATATGATACTTGAAGTCTTGAAGTGTGAACTTTATATTAATAACTAACTCACCCCCCCCCCTCTCAGGAGTTACCGTACAAAAAAGCAGAGTTGTACCAGTCTAACTGGTACCTGTTCGGGTACCTGCTTCACTACCTCCCCTTCTACCTAATGGGACGCATCCTCTACTTCCACCACTTCTACAGTGCCTTCATCTTTAACTGCATGTTAACAGGGGGTGTGGTGGAGTTGCTGTTAGCGGGCTGTTCCTCCGCAATGCGCATCAGGGGCGCGCTGTTGTTGGTGATATTTCTGAGTTTTATAGCGTTCGCACCATTGGCGTATGGTATACCTGTTGATGAGGATCATAAGACGTACGGGTACATTAAGTGGTTTAAGTGGCTGAGTACTTGGGGTTTTTGAAGTATGCTATGAATTGTTAGATTTGCGATGATGATAATTTGATTCTTAGGTTAATTGTAATTAGGATTAGATTAAATTAATTTTGTTATAATATTGAATATAGGATTGATAATAGTTTTTGTTCGTAGAATTTTTTGTAAATTTATTTGACCTAGATTGCCTAATTTTTGATGGAATGTGTTTGTACAATATTTCTATTTTTGATATTTTATTTTCATTATTCAAGTACATACTAATTTAGAATTATAACCTTGCTTTTATTTTCATGTTGTAAGATAATTTCTGTAGAGCAGAGCGCATGTAAAGTATAGTAACTTTTCACAGTTTCCGTTCATCCTCGTGAGTCTTATATTAAATGTGTTTAATTCAATTGTTTGATCATTTTTCATGAGTATCATTTAAAATAAGCGCTGTATTCTATTTTGTACACTTTATCGGGCTTTTGTTTGAGTTGACATACATTTTATCGCATGATTTGTAATATAATGGCTGTGACGTTTTGCATAAAAAGGATCGATAATTTACTGTTGAGTTCTTACTGCTTCAGTCGTTAATTAAACATAATCTTTTTTCTTCTAACAATTTAAAGTCGACTGCTTGACACACAAAATTACCATTGTATCTACTCTCTCTGCGTAAGTTTTAAATATTTTTGCTATCCTAGCATCCTGTCCCTGATTGTATAAACTAACGTGAAGTAACACCACCACCAGCTAAGAATGGCACTGTGGGTAGACAAGCACCGTCCCACTTCCCTCTCTAAACTAGACTACCACAAGCCCCTGGCGCAGCATCTCAAGAGACTGGTGAACGGGGGAGACTTCCCCCATCTCCTGGTGTATGGACCTAGTGGGGCGGGGAAGAAGACAAGGATCATGTGTTTGTTGCGTGAGATATACGGGGCGGGGGTGGAGAAACTGAGGATAGAGCACCACACCTTCACTACTCCTAGCAATAAGAAGATTGAGATTAGTACTATCGCTAGTAACTACCACATCATGGTTAGTGAAATTACATCTAAAACTCTAATCCCTTTAGCAACAATTCTATTAATTTGTACTAGTATTATTAGACAAGAGAATTAATGAGTAGTTAATTAGTTAATTAGTAGATAATCCCCCATTGCCCTCAGGTGAACCCCTCAGATGCGGGTATCCACGACCGAGTAGTTGTTCAGGATCTCATAAAATCAATAGCTCAGACCAACCAGCTGGATTCTGAGAAAATGAGGGAGTTTAAAGTGGTCGTGCTTACTGGTACGTGTTGCTCTATGATTACAATATGCTGCCTACAAAATCATGTGGTGACCGTCGAAATATCTTTTAATTTCGTTGGCTTCTTGCCAAGCTCTGCCATTGTGTTCAGTCTTGATGGTGACCACAAACTTGGGGTAGTGACCACAAAGTTGCGGTCACTACTGATCATATGTTATATAAGAGAGGTGACCAGTGACTGGTCACCTGACCAACATGTGACTTGTGAGCCACCTTTATTGTCAGGCCCGCCAAGTTCCAACATCTAGCCACCTCCAATTCTAAGCTTTTAGTACTCACTTCCAATTCCAAGTTTGACGTTTGTTATTTCTAAGACGCTGATAGACTGACGAAGGACGCGCAGCACGCACTGCGACGCACTATGGAGAAGTACATGTCCAAGTGTCGGGTGGTCATGTGCACCAACAGCATCAGCAAGATGATACCTGCCATACGGAGTCGATGTCTAGGTTTGGATTTAATACCAGTTAGAGCTGAGTTGCTCAAATCTTCTTTGGTTGATTATTGTAGAAACACTGCGATATTTAAGCGTGCGGAAGATGAGTTACTTGGATTCTAACAATAATATCTTAACCCTGAAAATGGTGGATTTTTATTTGTATCATTTTGGAATTTCGGATATAGATAGTTAAGTTCTCAATAGTTTAAAACTCCATATTTCAGGTATCCGTGTTTCCGCTCCCACCCCTGAAGAAATAAAAACAGTTCTCAGTCTTACCTGCAGGAAAGAAGGTTTTGCTTTAAACTTATTAATAATTTACCTATAATTATCATTAATAATGGGTGTATACTATAACTTAAAGATTTTTTTTCGAGGCTGCGATTCAAGTTCAAGACAATGAGACAAGCGATAAAAAGTAAAACTATTAATTATGATAATATTGAACGAGTTTGGTTCAGATTGATGCTACAAGGCGAACGACCAACATTGTACTGTAGAAAATATCAGTAAATGTGCGTTTGCTTACTCTATTATAGTAGTTCCAGTCCAACTGAAGGGCAACATAACTAATAGTTATTAATCTAACACTCATGTCAAAGTACTACTTGATCGTTATTAGGCTTTTTTTAAAGCAACCTTAAATCTAAATGTATGTGCCTGTCTTACTCTCAAGAATGTATCTTATATTTTATTTTTTTTAATGTGTTATCAACTACATTGTTCATTGTGTGAGCACAGTTAAAGTAGTCAGTACTCAATATCGTTCACATTTCTTATTTCTCGCAGAAGTTCTGTAGGAATTCAGTGAGCATGTTCCCATTGATGTAATCATGAGTTTTATCAAGGTTTGTGTCTGAAGCATACTTATCGTATGCTCTGGGCTCCTGCATAAACTTCCCCACTTGTGGAGCGATGAGAGATAGCTCAGCTGACAGCCAGAACTTCAGAACTTTAAAACGAATAGGTTCGCAGAGCATCTCTCGAGCTTCCCCGATAGTATAGGTGTTGAGGATGTGCTCGAACTTACTGAGATACTCCTCTGCGATTCTACTTACTGTGCCCTCCTCCAGGGGGATGAAGTAGTCTGACTCTGAAAAGTATCTGTTGTCTGGTATTCCGTCGTTAGTAGTAAAGAACCCCGTGCATACCTCCACAGAACAGGCTCTATTATCCTTCAAAATAGGGGGTATATCCGTGCCGTTCTTAGTATCCACATGAGCAGCGAATATGGTGTGAACATAGTCTGAAGTTCGGCCGGTCACCAGGTAATATACCTTCATCACATACAGTCTTTCGATCATTTCACGGTGCGCCAGGAAGTGTATTTCATTCTGCTTAACTGTTAAATCATATGCGTCCTTTATGATCACTCCATCGGGCATGATTGCATCTCTCATTTTATTGTACAGTCTCAAAAACTCCTGGTTCCAGTGAGGTGAGTCCTCCATCCTATACCGTCTCTGTGAGCCCCCACCCGACCAGTAATCTTTATCTCGCTTCATCTTGTAGGGGGCTTTGTTAGCAGTGCTGATCCTGGGTACACCCGCTTCGTCCAACTCAACAATTATCTTTGACTTTGTCTTTTTTCCTGCTTTTTGCTTTTTCGAGGTTTTCTTCTTACCTTTCTTGGCACCATGACAAATGTCCACAAATATCAATATTACGAGAAAACAGAAAACAAACCGTTTAAACGACATTTTAAGATGAGAGTACAGACCTCAAGCTGAAGTTTACAAATTTGATAGTGACCTCCTTCTTGCATTGGCGGACATTACCGACAGTAAAATGCTTACTAATGGACATCTCTTCATTCTTGAAGCGATGTTGTAAATCTTGACGACTGACTGACCCTCCCTTCGATCATTTTATTTTGGCCCCCAAGTTCAAAAATTTGGTATAAAATATGAAGACTCCTCAAAAATGAGCAAAATAGAGATGTCACAATTCATTCTCAAACGTGTGTAAATATACCAGATGCAAATTTTCCGAAAGTTTTACATCTATAAATATGGACAGTTTATCTTTTTGAATTCTGATGTCATTCAAACCATTGTGCTATATTTAATGGAAATTTATTGAGTTAACTCATTCCATTTTAACTTAATTTAAAAGCATGATCACCACAAATTAAATATTGTGCTTGCCAAAAACCAACAGAGTGCTTCCATTATTTTAATGGATTGAATGGTAAACACATTATTATTATTATCATCCTAATGGATTTAACGGTGGTTCCATTTCTCACAAGGACCTGAACTTATTGAGATACTCCTCTGTATCTCCACTTACTGAACTGTGGGTTCTTACTTTCTGTGATGTCTCTAAAACAGGGCATGCTCCTAGTTTGTCTTGTTCTTTCTCTTCTTGATTTGAGTGAAACTGCTAAGAGCAAGAAGGAGACCGCTAAAAAGGGTAAAGCTCAAGCCAAAGACGAGTTAGTTGAAGTTGAACGTTTGGCCCCATATGTTTCTAAACCAGATCTGCAATTCTGGTCCCCAGGTGGTCGCATGTGGGAATGGGACAAGAATCTACATGACCCCTTCAAAAACGAGGAATGGCAGGAATTGTTCAATGAATTGTATGACATTTTAGAGGCTAACGATTATTCGGAAATGGCTCCAGAATACTTCTTTATTCTACAGAGTTGGATGGACTATGGGATGAGGATCACGTATAAGGCAGAAAGTGAGTTCACCTCCACCCTCTACATGGCCCACACACTCACTGAGTACGGACGCAACATCCCCCCTATCATGGGGGACCAGTGCAACTTGAGGGAATGCTGTGATCCTGTGATGAGCTTCGATTGGTTTTCACAAATCGAAATCGATGATCTTCTTAACATAAACCAACCCTCGGATTTGGAGAGAATGTTCGACGAGTTCACTAGCAAGGTGAAAAGCCTATATTCCACCTTCTCACCTGAGCATGTGAAGGCTACTATGTGTAAAGAAGTTCACATCAAACCAACCAAAAGCACAGTCAGAGAAGCAATCACCAGCGTGGAGGAAGAATATGCTGATTTCTTAGTGTCTCCTGGAATGAATGGGAGAAGGAAAGCAATAAATAATCTAAAGAACTTACACATTGCTACGACAGGGAAATTACTCCTGAATCTGATAGAATCGATCTGTAAAGATCAAGCTCAACCAGTTGTAGTATAAGATAGTGACTTTTTGTATTTACCGGTCCATTTTAATGCTGGCATTGTTTAAATCTTAGTGATATTAGCTTTCTTGTATCAAAAATAAATTATTTTGCTGATTTATATTAGTGTAAAACAATTTTCCTTTTTGTTCATTGATAAATTGATAAGCAAACACTTTTATTTTTATTTTTAAAACTGTCATTGTAGTTGATTAAACAATGCTGAAGTAATAATTTTTTTTCAGTGGCCTTGCCTCACGTTACTGACCGATATCTGTAATAATTGCAAATAGAGTAAAATGTATCTAAGAATCCTAGATAAATTGTGGAAGGTCAGGATTTAATACACCAAACAACTCACAAATAACATCGTCGTACAATTATTATATCTTTGAAAATAAATACATAGTATGGCCTACTGTAACTAAAGAAGCTCACTAACCCAAATTATACGGCCAAAAAATGTTATGAAATTATACATGTCTGTAACATCAAAAAAATCTATTAGAATTTATAATTTATGGTATGTAAATATCAAGCACAACTATTTACCTTGTTTACAACCACTGTCAGCAGTTCTCTTGTATCTGATAGCTGTTCAGTAGTTGCAACATCATTCAACCGCATAATTCATAATAAATTCATCACGAAAGGATAATAATAACCTTGCAGGTATTTGGTCGACATTTTGGTGCTGTTAAGCAAATAAGCCTCAATTAATCAATCTGCGATTTAGCGATTACAACTAACCTTGATTCTCCTGCAGGACTCACTCTGCCCCCTGAACTTGCAGACAAGATAGTGACACAAAGTGAGCGTAACATGCGCCGCGCCCTGCTCATGTGTGAAACATGTAAAGTTCAACAGTACCCATTTGATCCCAACCAAAACGTGGACGACCCGGACTGGCTAACATTTGTCAAGCAGACCGCGCTGAAGATAATAGAGGAGCAGAGTCCTAAGAGACTACTGGAGATCAGATCCAGGTTATACGAGCTACTAGCTCATTGTATACCTCCAGAGATGATATTCAGAACTCTAGCTGATGAACTGGTGAAACATTGTGATGGGAACCTACAGAGGAAGGTGATACAAGCGGCTGCTAATTATGAGCATAAGTTACAGTTGGGTAGCAGGGCTATATACTATTTGGAGGCGTTTGTAGCTAGGTTTATGGCTATGTATAAAGGTTTCATCCAGGAGGCTATCATGGACTTTGATGATTTCGATTTTGACGAATCTTGATGAGCTGTCTGGTTGTATACCGACTAACAAAATTTAGGACGTGACTTGTGTAGTCCAAATTTTTATTCTGACATTCACTGTTTTTAAATTTCATTTTGAATCTTATAATCTTGTTAAATACAAGAATTTTTTCAATGGAAATTATTCTTATTATAATATAAAATCTTAATATGTGACATGTACCTATTTATTGCTATGGACTATTAAGTCGCTGAGTATCATTTACGTTTTTAAAATATACTAGACAAATTCAAATTTTTAGCTCAGCACAAAATCGGATTGAAATCTGTGCATTAACTGCAATACAATAACATTCCAAATGAGACTCTAACCAGTACAATATTAGTTCCTTTGTGGACAAAATTCAGTAAATATTACAATTTGTTATTGTTTATAAACCAACAATAATTATTGATCATTAAGTTACCCCTCGTAGCTAAATGACGTTACCCCTCTTCCCTCTCCTCCTCTGTATCTTACTATCAAGTTCGTCCAGTAACTTGTATACAGACCCTGAACAGGAGAGTTGCTCTGCACCCTCCCCTGGAGACTCAGGGACAGCGGAGACCTCTGGAGACTCAGCTGGGGACTGTGGGTGTGGTTCTCTGAAGCGAGATACTAGTCAGACTAGTAGTATTCCAGGTGAGTCAGGTTGAACTCTTTTTGAGATGGTATCATTTATATTGACCAATGACCATTCATTATTCAATTTGGAACTGTTTGAGTGATGAAGTTTGGTTCACGTTGGTACAGTGTGGAGCAAAATAGTTTAGGAGATCCCTGGTTTGTTGGTACAAGAGAAGAGCATCAGACCAATACAGTGACGGTAAAGCAGCTAAAGTGTGGAGCTTGTACATGGGGGGAGGCAACAAAAGAACAGCTGAGTACGGACCCTTACTGATAGACCTCCTTCACAAACACAATGTTAAAACAGTGCTGGACGCAGCTGCAGGGACTGGTGTGGACAGTATCTTACTCCTCCAGTCTGGGTTTAAGGTTACATCTGTTGATCTCAGTGAGGAGATGTTAGCTGAGGCTCGCAGAGAGCAGGAGAGGAGAGCTGATGAGCCAGGGTTCAAGGAGTGGGAAATAGGACGAGGTGATTGGTTGGATCTAGTGGAGAGCAGTGTTACTCACCCTCCTGGAGGGTACGATGCTGTTATCTGTATTGGAAACTCTTTCGCTCACCTCCCTGATCCTGCCGGAGACCAAGCTGACCACAAGCGAGCTATATCTAACTTTCACAAGCTGCTCCGACCTGGAGGTGTCCTTGTTACAGACCACCGGAACTATGATTATATCCTAGAACATGGTACTATACCTAACACTGCGTCCAGGCTGTACTATCAGGGAGGTGACAGGATCCACAAGATAACCACTAAACTAGGCACTAAAGACGGGGTTTGTAATCAGATAACACTAGAGTATGAGATAGACATTACCGGGTACTCTGATGGGTCTGATGATGAGATTAGGACCAAACAAGATGGGACTCAGATCCCCATTAGCAGATTCAGCTTATCTTATTATCCTCATAAGAAGGAACAGTTTGTTGCACTGCTGAAGAGCGTTTTTGGGGATGATGCCAGGCATACTTTGTTACGTGATTATAAAACTGATGTAGAAGACGAATACATTCCTAGCTACTTTATTCATGTTGTTGAAAAGATAGGTGGGGTATTAGGCTGGAATACTGTATCATTTAGAAATTGAACAGTCTACAACATTTACTAATTTTCTCTCTTATACGATTGTTTTGGAAACAATAGATTTTTCGGAGCTCCGATTTCCCCCTTTTCGTGAATTATGTATCAAAAGCCTTTCGTTAAAGTTAAACTGTCACTTAATTGAACGTGTTGTCAGGGGAGAATACAAAGCCACTTGTAGAAGATACAGAGAGTCAATCAAGTACTGATAATATGGTGCTCATATCAGGTTAGCTATTTTTATTTTCTTTCGTTTTCTCGCCGTGAAATTCTGCTGTTCATTACTATACCTCGACAACAATTAAGAAAACTCTAAATATGAATAAACAGTTTAAAGATAACATCATCTGTTACATTGTCCAAACATTACAGGGGGAGTATTCAAGATGGGAACTGACTCACCTATTCTATACATGGACGCAGAGAGCCCAGCTCGAAACGTCAACCTACCTGACTACTACATAGACCAACACGAAGTAACCAACTTTCAATTCTCCGAGTTTATCAAACAAACGAATCACGTGACAGACGCTCAGAGGTTCGGCGACTCGTTTGTTTTAGAGGGTTTGTTGAGTGCTGAGGAGGACGCTAAGGTACAGAACGTGGTACAAGCAGCACCCTGGTGGCTGCCAGTGCGGGGAGCCTCCTGGGACCATCCTGAGGGGATTGACACTGATATCACTGACAGGATGCATCACCCTGTAGTGCACGTGTCATGGAATGATGCTAAAGCTTATTGTTCCTGGGCAGGTATGTACACCGCATTGGACTGATTGGAGCAGCTGAAATATTTGAGTGTGGAATTTAAACTGGATGGAATTATAGAACGACGTGCTGATGTTGCTTTCGTTTTGGCTAGTCTGCTTATATTTGTTAATTTAAATCAGTTGCTGTTATTTTTTTTGTTAGTTAGTGAGTAATCTGTTTTGTAGGTAAGAGATTACCAACGGAAGCAGAGTTTGAGAAAGCGTGTCAAGGAGGGAAGGATGATAGCTTGTATCCGTGGGGAGATGATGAAACAGTTGGAGAAGCTCACCAAGCTAACATCTGGCAGGTTCGTTTCTATCTTGCTTATTTGCTTGGTTTTTGTTAAGCCTTCGGAATTACACTGCCACGCCCTATTTAATGTACCGGGATTAAGGAATGGACCAGATCTGGTTTTGTCCTCATTGTTTGTATGTTAGACACTTCTTCTCCTTGTTCCGATGCAGGAATTGATCGTGGATTGAACCCCGACATGATTATTATCGATGTAACAATCGTAAAACATTACAACCATCCCAGGGAAAGTTCCCAAAAGAGAACACACTAGAAGACGGCTACAAAACCACCGCCCCAGTGGGCTCCTACCCTGGTAACAACTACGAAGTGCACGATCTGATAGGGAATGTGTGGGAGTGGGTAGAGGACTGGTGGACTACTCACCACTCCCCTGACGGTGCACCGCCTCCCACAGGGCAGGAGAAGGTTAAAAAAGGGGGCTCCTTCATGTGCACTAAGCAGTATTGTTATAGATACAGGTGCCCTGCCCGGACTAAAACAAGTGCTGATACTACGGGTCTTAATGTTGGGTTTAGGTGCGTGAAGTCAGTGTGAGCTGTACATTGTGTGAGATCAGGGGGAGGGGGAGGGGGAGGGGGAGGGGGAGGGGGAGGGGGAGGGGTAGGGGGAGGGGGAGGGGGAGGGGGAGGGGGAGGGGGAGGGGGAGGGTGTTTTAGTTGCATGGGTTGATTAGCTACAGGACTTAAGAATTAAAGTTCACCTGAATTACTGACTTTTGTTTAACATTGATGAGCGAATGGATTTTTAAAGTTTATCAACTTATTGGTTTTACTAGCGGGATTCGTTAAAACAATTTATATAATGCTTCCTTAATTTTTAAAGAACAGAGTAAGTAACTTATTATTATTAACTTATTAACCATCTAACAAGAAGCACAACACATCCGGGTGTGCCCAACTGATGTAAAATGATTACTAATTTATTAAATATTGATGATTTATGTTTTGACTCATAAGTTTATTTTGCGTAAATAAGAATTTTGTTTGATTGAAATGTTATAAGAATTTGAATTGATCATAGTCATGTTTTGTTTGGTTATGAATTATGATAATTTATCGAAAGATTTTTTGTAGCAAAATTATTTCTAGATACTCAAATATGGTATTTTCGATAATCTGTTTGTTTATTTAAATTGTGAAATTTAATCCTGAAATAGAAACTGTAAAGTAAACAGTTCACGACTAAATTGACTTCATCGATTTCTTGTTAAGCCTTAATTTTGATTTGTCATGAATTAAACCAATTCTTTTGCATTTTTATTTTTTACCATTGTGTCAAAAGCTAACCCTCATCTGATTTCTAGCTACCCTAACAAGTCTAAATGATGTATTACACCTGAAAACACTCAAGAAGGAGAAACACTTACCCTCCAATTTAAAACATGGTAATGACCGTGCCTCGTCTAACTTCATTCAACTACGTCACTTCACACGACGTTAAAACTCAGCTCAATGTCAAAGTTGGAGGTCTGGACGGTAAGCCGCCTCTTCCACAGGTCCCCCAAGTTACCGAAGACTTGTACCGCGGAGACTTCCAACAACCCTACGCTGACCTCAAGTTTTCCTGCTATATCTGGCACGACGGAGCAGTGCTGACACTTCCTGTTTCCACCTCCTACCGGCCCTTTACCTCCAGGTGGCAATGGAACGAGCGGTTGTCAGTGCCAATAAGAATATGTGACCTACCACGTGATGCTCAGCTGATCTGTGAAGTGAGGGAGGTAGTGAGCTCCAGTAGTGATGTAGTTGTAGGAGGAGCTGCTGTACCTGTTTACAACACCGAGGGTATCCTCCAGTGTGGTCTGATTGATATCAGACTACACACTGGACTGTCAGATCCTAATGAGCTGGTTCAACAGAGTGAGGAAGAGTTAACAGTGAGGGACGAGATGACGGAGTTAGCGCGGCTCGTCAAGCAGCACCACAGTGGGGAGATAGAGAAAGTAGACTGGTTAGACAGACTTACCTTCCGTGAAGTGGAGCATGTTAACGAGCGGTCCAAACAGCAGAACTCAGCGTACCACCTCTCTCTTGAGTTCCCACCTGCAGTGTGTAAAGACATGATGCTGTCTGTGGTGTATCACGAAGAAGAGGAACAAGTCAGCACTTCTGGTAACGACATCTGTCATATTCACGATCCTGAGCTGCTCATGGAGTCGCTGGTTGAACAGAAACAGCACAAACTGTCCCGGTCTCTGAGGTATGGACCTGAAGCTAAGAACTTGAAACCGAACCCCCACACCAAACAGAGTCTGAGCACGATAATTGATTATCCAACTAATAGGTCACTAACATCAGACGAGCAAGACTTGATCTGGACGTATAGGTACTATTTGGCGAGATTCAAGAAAGCACTGCCAAAGTTCTTGAAGTGTATTGATTGGGACGATGAGCAGGAGGTGACAGTTGCGATGGAGTTGGTGGAATTGTGGGAGTTTATTGATGTGGAGGACGCACTGGGTCTACTCTCAGCTCAATTCACACACAGTTTTGTGCGACTGTATGCTGTAAAACGTCTAGAAGCGGCTAACGATGACGACTTGAGGCTCTATCTTCTCCAGCTTGTACAAGCTCTAAAGTTTGAGAACAGTGACGACACTAAGAAGGAGGGGATATCTCCTCTAGGAGCGTTTCTAATCTCACGGGCATGTCACAATAGCTTCTTTGGAAACTATTTTTACTGGTATTTAGTCGTGGAATGTGAGGATGATACTGACAAAGAAGCATCAGCTCTCTACCGAGGAATTCTCAACGGGTACGGAAATGAGTTGAAAAGACGAGGGGAGAAGGGTGAACTGCAAAGGAAGGTACTTAGGAAACAAACCGATCTGATTGGGACAATAAGGAAGATCCTTAACTCGCTTGGTAAGGGAACTCGGCCCCAGAAGATAGAACTTCTGAAGCTGGCACTTAAAGACAGTGGGTTGGAGAAGTTTGAGACTGATTTTCCTCTTCCACTTGACCCAACTATTAGAATCTGTGGTATTATACCTGAGAAGGCCACCCTCTTTAAAAGTTCTCTCATGCCAGCAAGATTGACCTTTAAGACGGTCGACGGGGGAGAATATGTGACAATTTTTAAGAACGGAGACGATTTGAGACAAGACCAGTTGATCCTCCAGGTGATCGAGCTGATGGATAAACTATTGTGTAAAGAGAATCTGAACCTGAAGCTGAAACCTTACAGAGCTCTTGCTACCGGACCTGCTCACGGATTCCTCCAGTTTGTAGACAGCAAGGCAGTGGCTCAGGTTCTCCAACAAGACGGGACTATCCTGAACTTCTTCATGAAGCAGTCTCACGATGGTAAGACAGTAGAACCTGATATAATGGATACTTACATCAGGAGTTGTGCAGGATATTGTGTTATCACGTACTTACTCGGAGTCGGAGACAGACATCTGGATAACTTGATGCTCACCAAACATGGTCATCTTCTTCACATTGACTTTGGGTACATCCTCGGCAGGGACCCCAAACCCTTCCCACCTCCCATGAAGCTCTCTAAAGAGATGGTGGAAGTTATGGGAGGGTTGAACTCTGCTGAGTACGCTAGTTTCCGTGAGCACTGTTACAACGCCTTCCTCATCCTACGCCGCTCAGCCAGCCTTATCATCAACCTCTTCTCACTGATGTTGCGTGCAAATATCCCTGATATCTCCATTGATCCGGACAGTGCGGTGCGGAAAGTTCAGGACAAGTTCGGTCTTGATTTATCGGAGGAGGAAGCAGTTCAACTGTTCCAACAGATTATAGATGAGAGCATCACCGCCCTGTTCTCAGCGTTATGGGAAAACGTGCACAAGTGGGCTCAATATTGGAGAAGATAAACTAACTTTAGTTAGAAATTAATGTTACTGGCTAAATTGTAGATGTGACGATTATCCTTTTTTGATATCAGCAGCACAGACAATTCTTGTTTTCCCTGGCTACCAATTTATATATCCTCTGTTTTATGTGTATAAAAGGGTAGGTATTTTATGTGATATAAAATATTGATGAGCATGATTTTGATGCTTTTGTCAGACTAACTGTTGATTGTGCGGGATTTTTAATGCTAAATAACCAGCCCATTGTTTACCATCATTTATGTGTGTGTGTGATCGAAATATTAAATTAGTAAATTTTATTTTGACCCTGTTAAATGTTAAATTGTTGACTATTATAACTTGATTATTCCAATTTCTTTTCTGAATTATCTTGCCTTTTATTCATTAATTATTACTGGCTGCAATTTCTCTTACATGAAAAATGGTTTACATAAGATTTAAAATGTAATTTATGAGTAAGCGTACGACGCCCTCAGAGCTATAAATGAAATTCTCAAAATTTTAAATAAATCAAAATTACAGTACACATTATCGTGAGGCCCTTCACAAAGCTTAAAATCTAGGCTAAAAAGATAAAGAATGGTATGAAACTTTACGGATGCGGCTTCATCACAAGAACAGCTGCCACAAGCACTGAAACAAGCACTGAAACAAGCAATGCTGCTACTGTTGGAGAAGGTGTTGCAAATAACAACGCACTAAAACTGGTTACTGATCTAGAATCCGGTTACAAGGTGATGACTGTTTGGGGCGGTGTCTACATCAGAAACAAATCAGGAGTAACAACCTTTGGTACGTCTCTACTTGTCTAGATACTTCTTGCTTGACAAGTGATTGTTTAATATATTATTTTTAACGTATTACGGTGATTATGATAATTAGTGATTGTAAGATTACTTGAAGAAATATCTGTAGATGAAAATCTTTAATAGAGTTGAACTATTTCTCTTGTTGAGTGAACATGTTACACTGTTTGTTTTCAAACACAGTGAATTTGCTATCGTCTGTATTAGCGGTGATTGTTTTTGTTATCTTAGCCGCTCCTTGACAGTCACATGTTTGAGAAACATGTAAGTTTTATGTATACGACGTGTAACGATCGATAACATGCATTTAGCTTCGTGAATAATATTCAAAACGACACAAAATGTATGAAAGGATTACTTTACTAAAACACTGAGATTTCACAAGTAGATAGATAACTGCTGGCCACTCTACTTGTATTTAATAATTATTCCACTCTGCTATGATCAGGTTACGCCATCTCACCTCGAAGTACTGAAGTTCTGACTGCTGGAGATAACACAGTAGTGTACTCGGACCACACAGTTTCCTGGGACGGTAGTGCTACTTCCCACGCGGCGCTGGTTAGAAGTGCTAGTTGTGAGGAGCGATGTGTTGCTGCGACCTGTAGGAGGGTAGTGTGGGGAGACAGTGTGGGGATGGTCGGGGAGATGGAGCCTTATAAACAACCTGTAGGTGCGATTATACATTGTCTACTTGCCTCAAATACTAGTTGATGTCATATCTTGAAACGCTTTTGTGTTTTATTTTGAATACTTTCTGAAAAATACTTTCTTCCTTACGCAATTAAAATTATTAAAACCTCTTTTTTTAAATTGAATCACCTTTCAGAGTACAGACTTGAGTATCCTCTGCCTCTGAGAGTTACAGCGCTTGCGCTAGGAGCTCAGTTTACTCTAGCACTCGGTCACTGTGGTATCGTCTGGTCCTGGGGCATCAACAAGTAAGGAGACCTTGTCTAGTTGTCTTCATTTTATTTTCTCATCAAAGTGTATTATATTTTCGAGGAAACATTGATATTGCTGAAGTTCCGTTTATTAAACGAATTTGTTGAAAATTTAATCTATCCTATTATGCAGCCACGGACAATTGGGTCAAGGTCACATAGAGACAGTTAAAGAGCCAACACCAGTTGATTATTTGGGTGGCTTGCAAATAAGGGGGATTGCTGCTGGATATTGGCACTCTCTAGCAGTTTCAGGTAAAATGCACACTTGATATAGCGTACTCCGTAGTCCGTACTCTGAAAATGAAACTGTTGAGTGCTTAAATCAGCTTAATCGCATAATTTTGGGTTCAAATTCTTCACAATAATTTTTTATTAAAATGCAGACAGGTTTTGCGTAACTGAACTCAGCCATAATGTACTATTCAATTCTTTTAAATGATCTGAATTATTATCGCAGAGTTTGACGCGGTTTATGCTTGGGGCTGGAACAGCAAGGGGCAATTGGGACTACCTGCAGGTAATACTTTAAAAGGGTCTACTATAATTTCTAACGTAACGCGCAGTGGCTATTTGCGTGTGCGCAGTTTTCCCACGCTTTTTACTTTGCCGATACGTTCTAGCGGCGTTGCTGCTACGAGGTTAAAATCGATCAGTTGTGGTCTTCTGTCTGCATGCTGGTCGATTAGCGATCTCTGTAACTGTGTATTTGTTCAAGCGTGAGATTTTTGTAAAGCTTCGAGTAAGGACAATATGAGGGCTTGATTATTGATATTTTCCCTCAGATAAGACTATGGAAAGTGAACCAGTGGCTCTCTTTGAAGAAGACACGGAAATAAGAAAGGTTTCTTGTGGGAGGAGCCATTCGGCATTCCTCGACTCAGGTACCAGTATGGACAGTAAGAAGTTAGTATGCACTTTGGTAGTCTAAGCTGAAACTAACAATGAATTGAATCCTGGACTTGAGTGTGTATTGAGAAGGATAAAGGATCATGTTAAATGAAGTAAAGTATGTAATGTTCTATCTAAAGCTTGCTTAAAAGTTTAACGTTGGGTTTTCACAGGAGATAAATTATACGTCTGTGGATTCAACAAGTACGGTCAATGTAACCCTGACAGTGATAGTGAGAACCTATTCTTGGACAATAACTTATGTCATCAGGCTTTGTTAGCTAGCGGGGTGTCTGATGTTGTTTGTGGCCCTTGGTCCACATTTTATGTTACAGAATGAGAAGATTTTTGGGTATATTGCCGATGACTTTATGGTTTATGGCGACAAATTTATGTAAACCATGATGACGGTCTATGTTTTATATTGTTTTATAATTTGTTTTTTAATTTATGTTTTTAACAATCTAGTGTTTTTTTACTTTTTAACATATGATCGTCGACTTTACGTTAGTTTATGAATCATTTCCACACAAATTTTACTTGTAGATTTAACTGAAAACAGTACAAGTCCTTGTCACACCCTCTAATGAACAACCATATTTTAGCTGATGGCAGACTTTTTAGAGGGAGATCCAGGAGAGACAATCCACCGGAATATGGATGTAGAGATGGATCGGATGGAGTCCAATATCTCCAAACAAGGATACAGCGATGGGTTTCTTGCTGGTAAAGAGGAAGGTACGTTGTGTTAGAAATACCATTATTGCTTTCTGATACAATCTGTTGACAGTGAACAGCTTTAGTCTCTTCTACCTTCTCCGTACTAAACTGGTTTTAATAGTTTTAAAGTTTATAAATCTCCTCTCCTAGGTACCCAGATAGGTTTCGACAGAGGTTTCAAGAACGGTGCTGGATTAGGTACCAGCTGGGGGTCGATGGAGGGCAAGATGACTGCTATGATACATGTTTACCCGAATAAAGCAGGCCAACTGAAACTGCTGTTAGAAGAGCTGAAGGAGAGTTTCGATGAACAAAACAGATACTTCTCTCAGGTTACATTACAATTAATTAATTTAAAGTTATCATGTTATCAAGTCTAGCAAAATATATGCTACACGACTTTCAATCCAAATTACCCAATTAATCAACTATCTGAGTATAAAAATACGACCCCTTTAGTTCGGTGAAGAACGAACGAGCGTGTCTCAAGCCCATGGGATCACGATAACTAAAACCTACTACGCTACCACCGACATCCCAACATCATCTTCAGACCACCAATCGTCCCTCAACCCTCCGGAGTCAGGGTGTTGTGGTGGTGGTTCCTCCAGTAATGGGTGCTGCAATCAGTCGGGCGAATCATCGTCTTGTCGTAAAAACGGCACTGGAAATGTTAGTTTCGGGACGAATGATATGATGTCTGAACTTGAATCCTTGTCGAGTTCAGGTGGAGGAGGCTTTGAAGATAGGTTAAGATTGTTCGAACAGAAATTGGATCATATCATACGGAACTGTTGAGGATGTTTTAGCAATTGATTTTTATCCCATTTTGATTTTTATCGATGTTGACGAATGTGTTATCTGGGATGGTAATTTATTGAATTATTGTGATTTTGTACAAATTGATCAAAGTGGGTAATAGCGGGGAGATGATGCAAGTATATTTTAAAAGTGGCTGTGACCAATCAAATCCCAGAACTGCTCTCACGTGCACCACCTTCCCGCATAGTTCCTGACATTTATTTTCAACCTTACATTTTACAACGTAACTTTGAAGTTTTAATCAATCTATCATTCTTAAATAGTCGAACTCTCATAAAATGTTAATTGTTTTTCTTCCTGGTCCGATGAATTGCTATGTTATTATAACCTAATTATTATATAGTACGCAGGAAGGTATTTCAGAAGATATGCAATCTATATTGGATCACGTTGAGCTGGGTACTGCATGTGCAGAGGGCTTATATGAGGTAATTATAAATAAAATAATCGTATAAATTATAATTAATGAACATAGTCTCTATATTAGATTTATCTTTATAGGGAGGATGCAAAGACTAAAAACAACAGCTGGTGGCCTATATGAGGTAATCATAGATAGAATAAATCTTAGAAACTACTTCATCATAAACAGATGCTTTTATTTTAATTTGGTCTTAGATGCTGCCACTAAAAACGGCAAGTAAAATAGTTGGTTAAATTGGTTGCATTCCCCTTTTTCCTGTTCGTTATTTAATTATATCTGGATGATTTCAACAAATTTTTTCTCCCTCAGAGTGCATTGAGTATGCTAGAAAGTGGCGAGAACCCCAATCAGTACAGCGAGGACGGTTTCACTCCTATCTGTCTGGCTGCCTTCTGGGGCAAGTCTGACATCGTAAAAGCGCTTCTTAACTTCGGGTAGGTTTCACTTTCATTAAACTTACAGGTCTCTTTTAATTATAGATAGATGGAACCCCTCTCATATTTTCCTCGTCTATTAATACTTGATGTTATCTTGTCTCTGGTTCTTATTATCTTGATTCTCACACTCAACTGTTAGTGTTACAGTGCTGACGTTAACCTAGCCAACATTGGGAGCAGAATGACCCCTCTTCACGCAGCAGCATTCCAAGGCCACGGTAAGATAGCTCATCTCTTACTGGAGGCTGGGAGCGAGATGGAGGTTGAGGACAAATATGGAAATACTCCAGTTTACTATGCTTCATCAGATGATGCTATCTGGCCATTGTTTGCGAGTGAGTTCTTACAAAATCTTTTATTTGATATCTACTTTGTCACTTTCGTGATTTTGTATCTCAAAGTTTACCACCTTCTTTCTGATTATGCAATCCTCATTCTTTTATGAGTAAAATTCACTTACAATACACACACATATTATTAACGTGTACATATAAACATAACGCTATGAGACTAAAACAGGGTACCGAATTAAACCCATGTGGTCCACCGGTCACGCGCGTCGCGGAAATAATGTCTTCATATTCTTAACTCACCGCGCGCGCGGTCTAAGCCAGTCGGCATCATGTGAGCATGACAGTGAGCTGATTTGGCACTTCGCATACCAGGTGTGAGTTGTGAGTCGCGTGATCATTTACCTACGTAAGTGCAGATATTATTAAATTATGCACCAACCTCACAAGACTACATGATCAGTCCATTAACAAACTGTGACAACGATTTAAATGTTTATAATGCAAGTATAGGGTTTGATAATCAATTTACCTGATCTTGTTTTCAGGTAAGGGCTGCTCAAGAAAACCTGTCAAACAGCCCCAAAACGAGGTAAATTTTACAAATTATTTTGTCACGTACAATTTACACTAAATCGTCATTGTCATGGAAACGCCCCTCACGAAACAGCCTCAACAATAAACAACCGTATCTTTTGTTGTTGCACTTAAAGGATGTTGTATACAAGTGTTACTCCCTGTGTATACGTCAAACCTTCTTCATTGTTCTACAACCACTAGATAATCACACCACTTGAATCACGTACTATTATAAACTAACAGCTGATCTCATCTCTGTTTTACAGCCTGATATACAAGAGTCGGAAGCGCAGATAAAGAAGGATTTTGAAGCGTATATCAGTCCTCTGAGAGAACACCACCATGCTAATGGTGATGTTCTGGGAATGGACAATCCGCCCATGCTGGAACAACCTGTCTTTGCTATCGAATGGGGAAAATAAGTACTATAACTGGGACTCGATAGGGACTGTTATTGAGTGTTTTTGGTCGTGAATTATTTTTTGTAAAAATTATGTTGTCAATTTTGATAAAAGAGAACCGGCTGGTGGTAAATTCTTTAAAATTGTATATTTATTTCAATTTTTGGTAATTCAACCAGTAAGTAATAATTAAAGAGTGTTATTTTATTTATGTTTAAATGCTGTTTTATTGTATTTTTAGTTAATTATTCAGATATTTAACTTAGCTAACTAGAGTTAGGATTGTTTTAGGGATTTCTTATTTGTTGTCAAAAAGCTGTAGATATAGAAGAATATAGGGAATTTCGCCAAATGATGTACATAATTAGCTTTTATTTCGGTTTCTTCAAAATGTGCGATCTTTATTTCTGCGTCAAGAGTCAACCATGATAAATGAAACAATTCTTAAAACTAAGTTAAATTTTCAAAACAATTAAAACTTGATAATACATTAACTGGAAGTACAACTTCCGCTTGCGCTCCGTATAAAGCTCTTAACTTCACCACTGAATGTGTGAATACACTAAAAAATAACTACCAGAAAATATGGGAGAATTCTAAGTGCTAACACTTATTGGACTGCTTCCAAAAAACAGTTAAAAATCAGATCTGGAATAGTTTAGAAACATGCACTCGACTGGAAATATCTTTAAATGTATTGTACAATGTACATTGCATCAGGTGATGCTGTTGTATTCAGACATAAAGCATTAAATTAACTTACAGGATAAATATAAACTCTCTTATTAGTATTAATCATACTGATGTCTTAATTCCAATCTTCTTCCAAACATTCTGTTGTATCATATTATTATTAATCCCACTATAATATCATTAATCTTTATCGCTACAAATTACCATTTAAACGTAATTAAGTTAATTAATCAATCAAACTAATCGACAAAAATAATAAATCTAACTCTACGCTCCTGATGTATTACCACCAAGACATTGCACCCCAGGGGCACAATGGCGCAGTCAACGTTTGTACTTGGTCCTAATCCGTCTCACTACCATGTCCTTCAATCAAAATTAAAAATTTTTTAAATTCTGTATAAACATAACTGATAAATTTACTACTCTTTATATGCGTGAGTTACTGACTTGCATGTCTGTATCTCAAGTAATAAGCTGTCCGTCAAAAAATTGTAAAGTAATCCCTGATATCGAAGATACTCTGTCATTAACAAAAAAGTGTGCTAGAAGGAATGTATTGTATGTTAGTAACAGTTCAATTTCCTGGCGACGATTTTTCTGAGTTGCTCATACGACATAAACATAATCAGGTTCCAGCCCGTTATCCTGAAGAAGCTCGGTACACACCTGAAAAGGTATTCGTTTGTTATGAATTCAGGAGGTTTAACGTCATAACATCACACTAATCAAATCTAGCTACGTAGACTTTTCAGACTTTCTTGAAATTTATAAACACCTAAATCGTCATTAGTTGGGTTAATAACAGTGTGTGTTGACCGCTGCTAGATTTGAAAAGATTATATGGATGTTATTTTGGTTATTTTCTCCGAAATACCTCAAATTCAGGCACGTAGCCAGGGGGGAGGGCCAGGGGGGCTGCAACCCCCCCCCCCCCCCCCCCCGGAAAAAATAGAACCCCAGGAAAAAATAAGCCGCCTAGTCGCCTGGTAACTGGGCTGTGTTTATGACTGCAGTATGTACTGTTTAAACGGCAGGAAATTGACTTCAGCATTTCGTAAATTATTCCCGAATCCCGCTATACATGTATACTTAGTACTTATTCCATTCAATGTGGCAAGAACTGAGTTCGGTAGAGACTGGTAAGTCATTTTGGCATTTGCTTAGTGCTTAATTTCCAGCGAAAAATTAAAGAGCAGTAGAACCACAGTACTAATATTGTAACTTTGGGCCCCCAATTTTGTATTATTGTGATGTTACCAAATTTACGTAAGTACTTGATTCTTTTCAGTCCCAGCTTATTGCTGTCCTACAATTTTCTTTAATGCCAAATGTCGTCACCCTATTTCTCAAAAGTTTTCCGGGGGGCTGCGCCCCCAGACCCCTGCCGCAGCTTGCTCGCTGCGCAGCTGGGTTGGAAACCCCCCCCCCCCCCCCCCCCCCAAAGAAAAATCCTGGCTACGTGCCTGCTCAAATTGAATAAAACTTTATTACATTTCACATTCAGAGGAGACTTGAGGTTGTTGTTGATCTAATTAAGCTGACCTAGAATGGCTCGGAATCACGTTCGGTGCCCATAATGACATTACACCGGAAAATAAAAACGTTTATACACTTCTCTCAGAATCTCTGACACCGGGTACACAAAGTTTACACAAATTTGGGAAATTTATTAAAATTTGAGAATATTCAGTTGCAGTTTGTGTGCCGGTTATGCTATTCACCATATTGTCTTATTCCTAGAAATAATATTTTAACAGAAGATAAGTTTCTAGGAATGAGTAATAAGTTGATTGCAGCTCACGCTGCTGTTTAAAGTTCGGAGAACAAAACATAGTGGAAATCGTGTACAGGTTAACGATGTTGGACATTTATTATGAAAACAAAAAGGGGGAAATCCAGAAGCTTGACCATTTATTACATTACTATCATTAATTTATTCAGGCAGACTGAAAACACGCACACTTGGCCAGTTTTAACCAAATTACATGAGCCTGCAACTTACCCTTTATAAAAAGTCCTGAAACCTCCCTTCTTAGCAAGGACCCCGGCACACTGCAAAGCACTCTTGTACTCTCCAGGTCTGCTGTTAACGAAGGTGGTTTTAACCACATCGACCGGAGAGGTGAGACAAGTGGTAACTGCACCAGCACACACTGCACTGAAGAAGTGGAGCGGGAACGCGTCCTGCATCCACCCTCTCCGCAGGATGGAGGTTTTCACGGTGTCGTAGGTCACCACTTCCCCGATGTTGCAGATTGACAGCCTGGAATGATGGGATGTTAGGGTCTGTATTAACAAATGCATGATATAATCAATATTATAATCCGAAAAATTATTTCTGTCTGTCTGTCTGTCTGTCTGTCTGTCTGTCTGTCTGTCTGTCTGTCTGTCTGTCTGTCTGTCTGTCTGTCTGTCTGTCTGTCTGTCTGTCTGTCTGTCTGTCTGTCTGTCTGTCTGTCTGTCTGTCTGTCTGTCTGTCTGTCTGTCTGTCTGTCTGTCTGTCTGTCTGTCTGTCTGTCTGTCTGTCTGTCTGTCTGTCTGTCTGTCTGTCTGTCTGTCTGTCTGTCTGTCTGTCTGTCTGTCTGTCTGTCTGTCTGTCTGTATGACCGCCCACGTGCAAATTTAAGGTAAACAAATAGAAGTTGCATAGTTACCATGGTAACGGTGTTCAAACGAGCACGTGCAATGATTCTTTTAACGTAATTTTGATCGGTTTTGTGGTAATAACGTTGTGTTTAAAGTGTTTTACATTTAAATCGGCTGTATTTTCGGTTGAAGTGGATATTTTTGTACGCGATTAAAAAACTTTATTTCAAAAAATACTACTAACTTCCTCCCTGCATAAAGAAGTACATAAATTGAATTCTGTACTGCAAAATTACTGTCACAACCCATGTTGTATCAATGCAGTCTCAAGCTCCACGATGGTCCGTGCACCCTGCCTATCTCGCCATAAACCCTGTAAACCGTCCCAACAAACAAGCTATTCATGGGAGCATCCCCTGTCAGTGACGCTCTCTGCATCCAGAAAGTAGCTACTTTTGCCCTACTGCTCCACGTATCGGGGGATTATTGACGGGGAAACATTACAACTTAGACTTCAATCAAAGATAACAAACCCGTACTTATATATCATATGGATTACTTCAATTGGTAACATAACACTGTCAAAAGGTCACGTGTTACACCTTAAGGAATATCACGTGCTACATTTTATGCCATATGATTAATGATCTAATATAGAATTTAAAAGGTAAAAGCTAATGTTTTGTTATTTGACCCCGACTCACAAGCTGCATTTCGTTTACTACTCACCTTTCTTTTGTGACAAACTTCAATGGTCAATAGGGTTGCCCTTTAACTGCCTTAATGTTTCAAATATTTAGTTCTTGGGATGTTTTCAAAGCTTCAATTGTCCGAAAATATGTCCAGTTCACATAACTTTCTATCTAGGGAGCTTTTAACCTTCAATATTGCTCTGCATGCTAATATATTATATTATTAACCATTGCATCACATGTAATATCAGCAAGAGTCACCCTCCGTAGTTTCCACTTTATGGGGGCCGGATGTGTGGTTTAAGTGGGTAAATAGTGTGTAACCTCGTTTGACAGATTTTGTTTGAGAATGTTTGTGTCGTTTTGTTGCAAAACATATTTAAAGTGATCTTAATGTTGTATTTGATTTTTCCATTTAATGATTTAGAAGACAAAAATCTTCCTTACGAATAAAATGAAAATATAAGATCAGTAAGAGTTTAGAGTTACCCTCTGCAGTTTCTACGAGTATGGAACGCATAATTTACATGTAATTTGATATAACAATTAGTTTTTAAATTGGTTAAGAATCTAATAAACTTCACGTGGACGATGTTTTAATCTACCACTTTACTGAAAAAGTTGCTTATCAGTTATAAACCTTTGGATTATTTGTCGCTCGTAACCATCGCTCTTAACGCTAACTTAATTTGTAATATGCAACCAAATTATGACATTTTTGTTTCACTCCAGTTTGGATACATTATACTGGATCACACATTAACTTTTACTTGATTTTTGATGTAAACATTAACAGTTAACACGCTTTTTTTAATCTGTAACTAATATTTTACAATAAAATAAAGAAAAATTACACTTTACTATATAACAATTTTGTATTTACTTTGTACTAATAATATATATAATTATGCATTGCAATTTATGCCCTGAGATCGAGAACTAAGTTTCTGGCTTCTACCACGATGGCAACAAGCATTTTAAACAAGCATATTGAACTAATAATTGTATTAACAATTATTGATTGAAACAAGCAAAAAACATACATCCTAAAACTCAACTTGTTAGCGTAGTATACATTAACTATTAGTTCGTGTCGAAGTTTAGCAGTGCGATACTAATACATTGCTTACTACAAAAGCTTTACTTTCTTACTACACAGTTGTGATTAAAGAATGTTATTATCATTTCATTCGAAACGCCATATCTTTTGTTACTGTTTAATGATTAAAATGTCGCTTAGAGTATTTAACCTTTTCCCACTGTTTCTATTAGAGTAACACACATTCTGAGCTCCTTCATGACTAAATTGACAATTTAGTCATGTCCTAGTTATATAGGATATGCAAATCCTCCTCAGTAGTTGCTGAATTTATTCATGATGTTAAATTATTACTTGATAAACTGATTACCCAGAATTTTGAACGGAAGATCTTGCAATTTCACAATTTTTAATGTGAAATATGTATTAACAGGAAACAATGTAACAGAGTCAATAGAGCCAATAGAGTCAATAGATGTAGTATTGCCAGATCCAGTTAAATTTGTAACGGAGTTTTATATTAACAGGAAACGATGTAACAGAGTCACTAGAGCCATGGGGTGGCAATTCCCCATTCATCAATCATCATAGTCCAATAGTTTCAATTCATCCTAATATAAAGGTATCAATTCGCCCCCAAAACCCCAGCCTACGGCGCTGCACCACTACGCACTCGGCGCTACGCACCGAGGTGCACCCCCCAGAAATTTTCACTTGAAGAAAAGCTTTGATTGACAATTTATTTGGATATAATTTGGATTTGTGATCCCGCCTACGGATATCTGCTCGAACTGTCATGTGACTTTAAAGTAGTATCGTCACGTGGTGGTCAGGCCTTGAGAAACTTTTTTGTGCAGATATGATCCTTATTATTTTCTTCACATCAAATATTAAATTTACAGATAGATTGCTTTTGTTTTTTCTACCCATGATGATTGATGATGGCACTTCACTGAGAAGTGAGAAGTGACCACACCTGTTAATACGAAATAAGCCATGAGTGTGTTTCCCGAGCACAATGTTACAAATAAGAAATACTGACTTTCAGTATCTAACATCTCACGTTGTAAGTCAATAGTAATAATTATTACTAATAATAGGAAACAGTTTGAATTACTGATGGCAGCGGTAGTCGAGCCTGCAGGCAACAATAATACAGAGGAAGCAGGTAGTTCGCTCCTTCTTCTCATTTTCAAATGTAACTTTATTCAGCTCATATTTGTGTGATTACTATTCCAACTATTTGTAAATTGTCTTTACAGTGTCAGAGGAAGGGGGAGAAGGAACGCCGTCAATATCAGAAATTATACGATATGGGGCACCGCCGGAGTACATTCCATTGCTTGTTCTATCCTTCATTATCTGCGTCTTTATCATCGGTATATTATGCTTACAACATGAAACGAGCATCTTTTGAAAGTCAAACGGAATATATGAAAACCTCCAGAATTTCTGAACTTAGTTAGTTCCTAATCCTCCTGTATCTCAGTGTTATTTGTACGTGCAGTAAACGAACACAGGAGGTTCTTCACTAAGCACACAATGCAAGGACTGTGCACTTTGGGGATAGTCCTCACCTTTCCTGTCTACGCTATCATGTACTACTCTGGTATGTGGAAATACTACATAATACATCTAGATCTAGAGCCCCTAAATCTTTGCAAAAAGACAGTTGTGCCTTGATAATAATATCGGGTTGGATTAGATTAAATTCGTGTATTATAAACCCTAACAACCCACATCTCTCCTTGACAGGAATCATCGTACCGAGGGCGATGGCTAAAGTTACATTTTTAGCAGAAACCTACGAGGCTATATCACTGGTGTTCTTTCTCAGGCTCCTGTTCACCTACATGGGCGGTAATGGAACCAGTTCTTTACTTGTTTCCATTTTCTAATCTCCTTACAAGCTCAGTTCTGTACATTCTGCACTGACAGTAAACTGTCATAGCCCACAATATTCTGGGCAAGAAATCTGTAGTTGGTTGTACCTTCAATAACAAACAAAATATTTAACTGCCATGTTGACTAACCTTCTTTCTCAGGAAAGAAACAGACAATTGGTAAACTAAAGGGCCACATGGTCCCTCTTGCTAACCCTCCTTTATGCTGCCTCATCTGTCTTCCTCACATAAAGTTTGGAAAGAAGTTTATGTTGGTTCATGAGTTGTTCATTCTCCAGCTGTTCATTTTTCAGCTGATCCTCGGATATATTGACCTTCTCATAGGTAAGCGATACACCGAACATGTTTTAGGGCAGTGCAAGTTGGCACTCAAGATTAATCTGCTTAAGTTGCTTAGCTCGATAAATCTCAATTTCCCATAAATCAAAACACCAATTTGGAGATCTTTCCTCGCCATATACAGGCAATAAGATCCTAACTGAAGTGAAGCGTTTTGCTGACTAAACAAACAATTGTGCTGACTAAACCTACTTTTCAGGAATAGACGACAGTCACACCCACCCTGCCTCCCTCATAGAGGAGACCTACTCTCACTACTTCCACGGCTTTATCCTCCTGTCCCTCCTACTCGCTATCTACGGTCTGGGAGGCATCTACCACGCGGCCGAAGAGCAACTCAAACACTACCAGATCTTCAGGAAGTTTATCCTGTACAAAGCGTTCGTAACGGTGGTAAAAGTAGAAGAACTGCTGGTAACACAGCTGGCAATGAAGGTGATTGATAGTTTGGAGCTGGATATTGGAGTGGGCGCTATACCTGGAGAACTCCGTGTCCACATGTTGTGTTATTTCCTGGTGATAGTCCAAGCTGCTGTTATCTTCCCCTTCTTGCTGAGAGCCTACAGTACTGCTGACTACCCTGTCACTCCTCCTGCCCTGTCAGTGGACAGCTGTACTGATCTGCCTATGTTGGAGTTTAAAGGTGACCAGCCACTGCCTGCAGTGTCTGACTATGTGTCATTTCCTGCTGCTCAGACTTTAGAGGGACCGCAAAGTGGGGGGTCTGAGGAAGAGGAGACCACAGAGATAACAGTGCTAGCTCAATGTTAAATGTTTCCTTTATAGCTAATAGGTAGTAGAAATACCAGGAAACTGATTTATTTGTCTAAATTGAATATGTAGCTAAACGTATTATTTTAGATGGCATATGTTTTGTTATAGAATAATATGAAAATGCTTATTTTATATGAATGTTTATTTTATGGATGAAAAACTTTTCTCACTTGTCTAGAATATTGGATACATAGTCCGTTGCTAGGGCCGGCTAAAAAAATCGTGTTCAAGGACAATAGAAAAATCTTCGTAAAACACGTGAAAACTTGTGGCTTTCTCATTTAATCTACATAAAGGTTTTACCACAGTCTAAATTCCCCTAATATTCAAGTGAGTAGGGCATTTGTATCTCTCTATTTAGAAGTTTAAGTTCATTTTACGAGTGACAAGCGTTGTTTAAAGTTAAGATTGGCTGGGCTCTTTACTATCTATGAAAGAATTTTCTGCAGCTTTGTACAGATGAAAATAAATATATCAAATTTAATCTACATAATAGATAAATTTACGGCTTTTAATTAAGTTTACCTTTCTATTGCAAGGTGTGCATGAAACACAGACTATATCAACGCATAAAATAGATGTTATCTAACTTTCTCGCCACGTTCATATCTCAGTTACCGGAAATGGCTTTAGTATGTGTATATTAACGGAGCTTTAAGAATAATGTACCGATAAATTAAGTAACTCTTAGGGATTAAAATACAATTAAGTCCAGAATTTTCCAGATTGATGTCATAACATTGCCTTAGAATTTGATGTACATGGCATTAAATATAAATGTACATTTTGGGTATAGAAGAATGTTAATTGGCAGTACTGAACAAAAATCAAATCATCACTGCATATTGCTGACGTATAAGTTAAGAAACATAATATTAACTCATCTAAAGCTTGAAACGGAGAAGCTTACATATTACATTATGTATAGAAATATATGTATAAGTTTTAATTTCAGGAAATATTATTAAAGGACACAGCCTCGTGAGAAGGTTTTAGAAAGGTAGTAGAGTTGTTTATTTAATATTTGTAATATCAAATAAATAAAGTTATTTCTGGTCAGTAACATGTTTAAAAGATCGTTCCAGAAGGCTAATTATACCAATATCAGAGTTGTACAAGTGTAACTGTTCACACTTGTAGTGTATACATTAATACATTCTCTCAGAGAAAACGTGGTTTTGGAGCATATTTAGCCCAGGACTAAGGAAGGTAATATTTATCTCGTGATATAAATACTATAAAATAAACTAGAAAGATGAAATAATTTCATATTCATTCAGTAGTGTCTCAAATATTAGTCCCGAAATTACAGTCTGACGGCCACATGAAAAATGCTAGCTTATCAACTTGTTTGAAAAGAAGAATAGTCACAGATTAGCGTTACGATGGTCATAACACTGTATATATTGTATAACAGTTCAGTGGACCATCCACACAATATCCTAGTGTTATACAGCTGCTATGATACAGCTACAATTTACCATTTCCTAAAGTCTAAAGCAGACATATCATAGACACAGACCAGTTTGTGTAAACTGTTATTTGTTACACTAAAATTATCACATTATAGCTTGATACAAGCTTCACGTGGCACCAGGTGTGTGTGTGTGTGTGTGATACAACACCACGTCACAACTCACATGTGTACTGTGAAGGTCACGTGACTGGTTACATGTTAGACCTTCTGTGACCTGACTTTTCTAGTATGATCAAACCTTTATCTAATAAAGTCAGAGTGTAAGAAATCACGCAAGGCCTTAATTACTTGACAGGAGTTCAAAATCTTATAAACACTAAGAAAAATTTAGCAGATTTAATCAAACGGTGGGAATAGTATCAGTAGTATAACAGTGTGTATAATAGCGTCTTAAATTTAGCCTGACTTTTAGGGTAAAATGTTCAGTTACTCAGTAAATCCATTCCATTTTGATATCTTGACCGTGATACTGCCTATCAAATGCAAATCAGGAGGAGTCTAACCAATTATACCAACTTGTGTTTGATAAATTTCTTATAAAATCCGTTGTTGACCAGCTGGATAGATGAAACATTTGAATAACCCTCTTATGATGCTTCACTTTCACTAACCTAATAAATCATAAACCTATTACTGATATCGGAAATGGTAGAAGTCACTGAGAAGGTGGAACTTCAAGTTCTGTGAAACTGGAGCTTCAAGTTACTGATATAATTAAGATAATGGACCTGCAAGTTACCGAAATAGGATAAAAAGCTGATTAAGTTCTGACCTCATGATGCTTGGTCCAAGGCCAGACCAAAGACCTTTGGTTCCTTCGGTAACGCCTATCTTGTAGTAGGCAGACAAAGAGCCTGTATACCGTACCGTTCCAGCCTTGGCAGCCTGCATCCTGATCTTCACAACCTGGTAATTTCGGTACAGTCAGAATAACTGGTTTTTTAAATGTACTACAGTGAGCATAACTGTATTATATTTATAAGATGTAGTAACACTGGGTAGATGTAATTATTCTACATCTAGTACAAATATTGTGTTGTATATAGTTCACTCTGCATCCTTTCAGGGCTGTAAACCAAACATATGTGTCAATTTAAAGAAAAGGTAGTAATGGTACCTCAGTAGGTTGAGCAACACATACAGCTGCTACAGCGGTTGAGATCCCTGCTGCAAATCTTAGAGGCAGACCATCATTCAGAGCAGTATGCTGGAGAGAAGGGTGTGATATCTAGTATTTACTACAGTACGTTTCAATCATCAATATTTTCACACTTATTAATTTGTCAGTTGATAGAGGAGCATTGAATAATTACTTTCATGTAGAAGTCCTTGGTTGAGTCGTAGAGACCAAGTCTGATGGTACAGAAACCTAGCTGTCTGTGGAGACCAGGAACCAGACCTCTAAAGAAACCTTTAGTTCCGTCAGTAGCTGCTATCGTCCGTATTGTTGTGGCTAGAGTTCCACCTTCTACCTGGAGAAGATTAGATGTTAACTATCTCGAAATAGCATGATTAAAACTTGAATGTGAACATGAGTTGAGAGTTATTCACCCTGTGTTGTTGAGTCATTAGATAGATATAAACTTACAAGGTTCTATAATATAGGGACATGCTACAAAGACAAACTGGAATATCTTTACTCACCTGAAGTTTTATCTTTGCACAGTCCATAGGTAGAGTAATAGCCTCAGCAATACAAGCAGCGGACCCTGCACTGATCAGTTTGGCTGCAAGTTCTGTACCCTGTACAGCGACAGGTATCTCTCTTTTGGTAATAGCTTGAGCCATGTCGATGGAAAACTCAAGACAAAGACCGAAGACTTAAGGAAAAATGCAACTTTTTTAAAAGGACGGCTGTTTTGTTGGTGGGGTATCAAAAGTCTAAAATTCTGAAAGGTTGGAGTGCATAGGAGACATGTTGGAAACGAGTTCAATCCTTTTGCACAGTTGTGCCACACGATTAACAGTAACTAGATAGTAGACCGAGTACAAAAACGATTATCAAGTACTGAAGATAACCTGTTCCATACCCGCATCACGTCCTTTTCATGACGTCACGGACTCCAACGCAAATGAACGAGACACGTGATATGATGACACGTGATATGATGGCGAAAGACATAATAAGGAGGTCAACCAGATGAACAAAATTCTATCCAACGCTAAATATATAATATACGCGCCCTGCTCATAGTGAGCATATATATTTGCGCGCTCGCGTTTGCCGAAAATTTATAAAACAATTACAAATTACAAATTTGAAAGCAAAACTAAAAACCAAGAACGTATCTTCAATAATCAAAGAAATTCAAATACGACACTTACTGTTAATATATAAGTTTCATCTAATTGCCCTCTTCGTGAGTTTCAAATGCAAATATCGCAAGCGATCATTTTTCGCGGCTTTCTTATTATAGGGGGTGCACCATAAAAATAAACATGCTCGGATTTTAAAATTTTTTGTACCATTGTTTTCTAGAGACTGTGAGAATTGTCACAATACCAAATTTGTCATACCTTTTTGGAAAGATCAGTGAGTTTCGCCTAGGTGCCATATTTGATGGTGCGCGGCTTTTGGAGCAAAATTAGCTGTAAAAGTCGCGTAATTTGACCAAATTCGTTGATTTTTGTCGTATTATTTGGATATATCTTCAGTTCCTTAAATGAGATCGTTCTGAAAATTGGCGACGACCTTCCAATAGGGCTTTCACAACTGTCCGAAAAATTTGGTGGATATCGGAGTTGATATAGTGATCAAAATGGAGCAAAATACGCTGCTTTTAGCTGTAACATCTTGTTTGATGGTTGGATATGCTTTAAACTTTTCGGACACCTTCCTTGTAAGTCTATGAGTATGCTTACCAATTTTTGTTGCAATCGGACGTCGGGAAGGATACTTAATATCTATTTGTGTGAAGAAAATTGTGCTGGCCGAAATTAGCGCTAAAAAACCATCCTACAGTCGGCACGCGCGGCTCACTGTCGATGGCGCACTACCTACTTATTATATCGGGTCTCAATAAGAGGTCTCGACTGCCTAGGCATCAAACCTTGGCAATCGGTAATTTTCCTTTGGCCCGGAGTCAGTTGACCCTAGGGACCAGAGGATAAAGACGTAGAGACTGTGTGTATCTACAAAAGTGGTTGTTTTTACAAGAGACAGGGCTTGCAACGCAAGGGAAGAAAAACGGAAGAAACAAACACAAAATGCATATTAAATGACTTAGTTATTATTTATATTTGTGATGCAAACGAATATTAAATAAACCATTGTATAACAATATTTACCTGGGGACCTCAGGCTATCATGTTCATTAATTGACGATGTCAATTCATCGCAGCTCAGCGAGGCACAGTAGCGCATTTTGCCGATCTCACTGTGATAAAACTCATTGAGTGCGCGGCGCGGCACAGTAACGCATCGCGCTACAAGTACAAGATAAAGCAAGAGATTAGGCGGAATAACAGGCTGAGCGCCGCTCCTACTGAATCGCACGCCCAAATTTTAAGAAAATTCTTGTATAAAGGCCCTTTGGGTATGAAATTGATCTGAATCGGTGTATTTTTGAACGCTGATTCCGAATCACCCCCATGACGTAGGGTAAAAATGCTTCCCTATAGAGAGTTATGGGCAAAAAACCGTTTTCGTCACGCGACAGGCTAGTAAAACATGAGTTCGATTGTTTAGGGCTCGGGTTAGGATTAGGGTTGTGGTAAGGGTTATGGATAGCTTCGGGTTATGGTTACGGTTAGGGTTGGGATTTGCTCTAACCAGAGCCCTCCCTGAAACAAGCGCGTCACGCAGTACGCGTATACACATGGCTATGTGAAGGTTGGGATTAGGGTTTATGTAAAACCGTTTTGTACGGCTGCAAAACCATAAAAACCAAAGTCACGTGAAATTTTTGGGCGAGCGAATTAGTAAAAGCCGCTGAGCGCGGCCCAGTAAATTAACAAGTCGATCATATTAATGATTAACAAGCAACATATATACTTGACGGATGCTTGATGTTACTCGTCTAAATTTCTTCGAAGTAGCACGCGCCGCTTTCTTCTCGAAATGGCCCAACGGCAAGTGCTACAAAGTAGCGCGCGCTGGGCCAGACCATTAACAATGGTCAACATATATTTGACTATATTTAATTTATGCGATTTCGAATTAACGGGTGATACTCGTAAAATATTTGTTCCATGTATTAGGACCGTCGACAACTTTGGAATCTCTCCATTATTATATTAATTAGGTCGCAGTGTTCACGGCCTGTACTGCGTGAACGACAGAAATATCTTTAAAATTATTTTACTTCTGAAATTTTGGCTCTAGAAATTAAGAAATGTGACATGTAATTGTAAAATAACAATTTGTAGCGCGATGCGTTACTGTGCCGCGCCGCGCACTCAATAAGGCTTCTCACAGCTGGCTAGATCGGCGAGATGCGCTACTGTGCCGCGCCGAGCTGCCATGAATTGACATCGTCAATTAAGATAACAATTAAATAGATCATGTGCGCGGCGCCTACAGCTGACCTACGAATTTCTGAACAATTTTAAATTGTGGCTGTGTGCGCGGCGTACTGTATATGTTTGATTCACGATGTCAATCCTTCGCATCTCGCCGATCTGCATACGTGGTTGCGAGAAGCATTATTGGATGCGCGCGCGCGACCCAGTAGTGCATCGCGCTACAATGTATATGTGTTTGAAATTGAAATTTGAATTTATTTATGAATATTACATTATGTATTGATTGTTTTGTGGCAAATAAAAATTTTTCTTTCCTAAATTTTTCTTTCCTAACTCGGCGCGCGTCCTGGTAGGTTATAAACCTACAAATTTCGAAGCAAAACTGTAATTGAAAAGTTGTTGCGATATATTAATACATTTTATTATTATAAAACAGGATCTTACTGACAAAAATGATTCTTAAAAATACCTCAATGCGGTAAACTGTACCCTTGAAACAGATTTTCCTAACATCTGTTGCACGCAGCTATATCTCCAATTTTGTTCTGCAATTCATGCAAGTTGTCCATTTGCAAATTTCTACTAGTTAAATCACTTCTTAAAACAGATAACAAGTTCATTCTAGGTCTCCCCAATCTTACAATGAATAAATTATCTGATTCAATAGCAAAAGAGAGAGCCGTTTGGGATGGGGTGTTCTCCATTTATAATACTCCTGAGAATGTGTCCAAATATCTTCCACCGCTGGTGTTCGATACGCTTGGATAACTTTTCAACTTTGCACCTTTCATACAATGCTTTGTTGCTTATCATACCTTTAGACCATTTGATGTTTAAAATGGACCTGAGGTGTCTACGATGAAGTGTGTCCATTTTCTCCATTGTTGCTTTCTTAGGACTCCAACTATACTCACTTGTACTTGATTAGGTCTCCTCAATCATTCGAGTTGCCTGCAAAAATGAACTCCCGTTTGTGACGTATCATCTCCCTCCAAAGTTTGCGGTCACTAGCCATCTCGCTCGCTCCTTCTAGGTCTATGTCAGTGTTTCCTGTAAACGCTGCAGCATCTTCCAGCAAACATTTCCTCCAGTTCTTTCTTGGACGGCCCCTAGATCTTCTCCAATGGGCAGGGGTCCAGTTAAGCAGGTACTTAGGAAGCCTAGTGTCTGGCATTCTGGTGACATGGCCAAACCAACGCAGGCGGTTTGCTCCTATGTACGTCTCTACTGGATTTATCTTTGCACGCTCCAGCACTTCAGTGTTTCTAACCCGATCGAGCCATCTTATCCTAAGTATACTCCAACTATTTGAGTTATAAATCAATACAGATAAAACTTGAGCATAGTATAACCGCAGCTTTCTTTCAAGGGAAATTTTCTTACCGGACAACTGCACATAACGCAGTACATGTAGACTCATGGCTATGTGAAACTTATAAGTGATAAGGCAGGATTTCAAATATTACATCCAAGCTATTACTTACCATGCACATACTACAATACGTACTATTAGCACACGCCCACACAGGGCCTTTATGTTATGTGTAATGCAGGCGACAGCAAACAAAGACGTAAACTTATTAAAATGAGTGAAATAGGACACCACATGTGTACGATCTCAGCTGCGCAGTGTGATAGAATATAGTTCAAATAGTTCAGGGTGTCCTGGACACCCTGATCATATAAATTAACAGTACGCCGAAATGGTTGGTCGGGAGTCCCCCTGGGATCATTAATCATTTAAATTTTGTCCGTAAAATTTTGCACAATATAAAAACTAATCTAGGAGACCTCAAAACTCGTCTTCTTGTTTTGTTTTCCTTTTTCGAATGTCTGCAATTTCCTTTTTTTCAGCTGCAATTTCTTTTTTTCAGCTTCTTTCATTCAATATGACTAATTAATTTCAGATGTAGCCCTAACATTATGGGTTAATTTTATTTTTAATTTGTGTTTTATCGACTGGAATAAAGTGAGTTATGTGGGTAGTGATACAGTTTTGGACAGGATATTGGCTATTGCCTGCATTTCTTCTTGTTCACTCGACCGCGACCGTTGAAATGTGAAAAAAATGAAAACAATTTTAATTTATTGAGGGTTAGACCAAATTTTCTTAGGATACCCAGTAGCAAAATGTTGCATGTTGGTGCCCCTCAATTATGTCCCACATTTAAACTACAATTTGGTGCACCCTAAGGTGGCGCCTCCACTGCATTGAGTTATTAGATCATGAACTAACTGTTCCTTTCAGCTAAATTTATTTTACCATATTTAGAAGATGATGTCACTGTGGAAGTTGTTTGAAGGTGCCAGGTACTGTGGAGGGGTGTGTGAGCACAGTCTAAGAAGATACAAAAGAATAAGGGACAACAGGGACAAGCTAGTTGAACTCGGTTTCATGACACTAACTGAACCGTTGCAATGTTACCGAACTCAAGAATGGGAGGAACACACCACAGCTTACTCACAGTGTAGGTTAAATTTACATAATCTATGTCAGCAAGCTAGAATTTAAAGAGATGTTGCACTTAGTCACTGCAAGGAAGCTATTGTGTTAAATAAAATTGAATATTCAACTCCTATCTTTACTCCACAGATCACCATCACAAAGACGTTCAGACCAGTTCATCACCCCGAACCCATCCTCCTCTTTCATTTATCAATCAACAAAAATGTGGAACGACTGTCGAAAAATTGACAGTATGATAAGCTTTACTAAGTCAACGAACTTAGTTAAAGTAACACTGAAAAGTGAGCTACTCAAGATACAGTCCAGGTACGAAGAATTAGAATGGACAGAATTAAACTTCGATAAGAATGAGCTTGTATTTTAAAACAGAGTCCTTTGACTTTATTATTTTGAAATTGAAGAATCGTCTGGCCATAACTCATTTCGTTCGCATTACAGATTCACATTCACTTTCATTTTCACTATCACGCACAGTACAGGGTCATACCTCAATACCAAATTATTATAGGGCAAAAGAACAAATTTGTTTACAATTATCAAAATTTGTTGAGCCCAGCAGCTTACTTCCTATCCTCTCTTCCCCCGTCGTCTGGAGCGTGTGATTTTTGTTGATATCCGAGCTCTTGTTTTTATCTTTTGGTTAACTTTCTGTGATTGGACTCGGTATTTTCGTCCCCGCCGAGTGGGACGATGCTTGCTCGCCAGTTAAGCTATACTTTAGATGACACTAATTTCTACAAACCACAAAATATTAAATATAAAATGTGTCCAGTATGGCGCAAATGCATCATTTGATAATTTCTCGACGCTGTCGTCGGGGTGAGAGTTATCTGAACCAACTGCATGCCCCTACGATTGCGTCACCACTGGTGAGCAAGCATTTGTTTGTTGTTTAGTTGTGTTGGAAGGGAACATTACTTGATTAATTCATCCATTAGGATTTTAATAACGATGAGCTAAGATATACCGTTCATCTTAGACTATTGGATCAATCTTATTATATGATTAGATTTTATAAACGAACCTGGCATACAAAAGATTGTAATGCGGAGGTTGGCTGGCTCTTCTATAATAAATACGACACTCCAACTTACAGAATGCTTGCTAGAGATAAAACAAAATATTATCAGACTATACATGCAGCATGAGTAACTGGTGGATAAGCCTTCGGTAAAAACGGATCCGGAAAAGTCAATGCGGCACTCGGGTCCTTGGTATTGTCGTCGGTATATTGTCCATTATTTACGTTCTGCTTTCATAGTTCAAACAATAGTGAGCTCTAAATATACAGCTTTAAACCGATTAAGTATGAATGAATGAAATACATGACAATCCGCACTCCTATAATTCAAAAGCATGAGTAACTCGTAGTGATGTACGATTTCTAGAAAGTTTAAATTAAATTTGGCGCTCACAGGTCCTCGTGATCATGTGATCGCCGCATAATGTTCTGTAAATGCGCAGGGCACCTTCAAGCTTAAATTATTCACCATACTGAGGCAGTCAACCAACGCGCGGCTTTATTTTTATGATATGATATGTTTTGATTGTTATTAATAAATACCAAAATTTAAATTTGTTTTACTTAAAAATTTGTTTTACTTAAAGAGTGGGTCCTTCAATTGCAAGGTTTTATGAACTTAAAAAATCTTCTTTTTTTTATGACACAGTAATATCTAATCTCATTTTTGTGTAATAACCATTATCACACATTTCAGATGAAGTATTGCTGAAGCAGTATGAAGATGGGTCGATAAAGCTGGAGGAAGTTGTAAATATTGATCCTAGAAACCCCTGTGAGAGATACTCAGACAGTGACAAGGACAGTCCTGTTGTTAACAAAAAGTGTAAACAGAAGAAGAAACAAAACAAGAAGAAGTCTCACAAAAATAAACCAAAAAAAGGAGGAAGTCAGAACAATAATGTAAAAGTAGAACAGCTAGATTGTGTAGAATGTGTAGAAGTCAGGAAAGCTAACCTGCCTGTAAACGAAGAAGCTGAAGCTCCAGATGTAGAGGAACTGGAGATGTTCCTACACTCAGAACCTGAGTCTGTACCAGCTCTACAAGACTTGCTGGTAAACAAGAACCTAACATCTCATCTCAGAGAAGGACCAGTAGATGTGTGTAAACTGATCGCAGAAAACCCAGATTATACACATGAAATATGTGAGGCTAATATAGACTCTCTTATGTCTGATGAGGAGTTTTATAAGATTACTTGTGAGACTTATCCTGGTGGCTGGGAAAAATTCCTGCAGGACATGTTAGTTTTAATATCTAATTATTTAGACTTAGTTATCTAATTAACTGATTTTGGTAACGTTATAAAATTTTACCTGTTTCACAGAAATTTTAATTAAACTCTTGATTATGTTAGGTACTTAGTAGTTATATAACGTGCCTAATGGTTTCTGCTTTACAGGGAGAATGAGGACTCCTCAGATAGTGAGGTTGAGAGAATTGAGCTGCCCCCAGATCTCTACAAAGATCTCATGTCAGACAAGTGTAAGGATGTGTCTGAAGACGATGAAGAACAGTTTCAGTTTGGTAAAATAAACAAGGACCAGGCAGATACCTGTCTTCACCGAGCACTGGAGTTGTATGATAACTACGATAACATGACTCAGGAAGAGTAAGTTTTATTTTGCTGTACTAAATATACTTTTCTAACTTCTAATTCTTTAGTTAGGACACAGGCTACTTCACAAATATTTGAATTGTATTTGTCGTGACAGTGTTAGGGTTTGTATATATTGCTAGTTAAGTATGTATATCAGTATATTGTATATTATCACTCAGGTATAACATAAAGCTGAAGGAGGTGCTTAAAGATATGGACAGAATAACTGTGCTAGATGATGATAACGACAATACCAAAGGCAGTAGTTCTAACAAAAGTAACATACCGCCTACTAAAGGAAGTGTAGGAACACCTGACTCTGTAGACAATACACCTTCTTGTAGTAATGCACACAACAGTACTGAACTTATGGTAACTCCCAATACAAGTACCAGTTCTTATCATGACATTGTAACCAACAAATCAGATAATGTGAGATCTGGTGACACACCAAATGTTACCACTTCAACAGAGTCTGATATCAGTTGCAGCTCTGTAACAGAAACAAAGAAACTACCCACCATACTGAGTAACAGAGAAATATACGAGAATATTGATAATATTCCCCGTCCTTCTTATTGGTTACCAGAGACAGAACCTGACAAAAAGGAGGAAGAGATAGATGATTTTGAGTATCTAGGAATGCTTGATGACAGTTATTTGCTGAGCTTGTTTGATGAGGATAAAGAAGAACCAAGTAGTGAGGAACCAACACAAACACCTCCACATACTAAAGATATAGTGACACGAGAGGAAGAAGTTAGTCCAACAGTACAAGCTGCAGAAGATAAGAGACGCAGTAATCCACCAAGGCGTGCTAAGGAGGGGGTGATATACTGTGATGATTACAACCAACTAGAAGAAGTTTTGCAGTCCGAGTATTGTAAGTTAGAGTAAAGAAACTTTTTTTTTGTTCAACGTCTATATCTTATTCAAACGAGTAGGTTGTCTGAATTTTTAATGTATGTACTATTGCTATTGGTCTAGTTTTTGTTAGTTTGTTAGAATCTCTTAATTTTACTTATTGAGTGATATAAAACCTCCCCAGTTTGCTGGCAGTGTAAGAAGAATGTAAGAGGGGAGTGTGAGGAACATGGTGCACTGCTGCCCTGTGTAGAGGAAATTATTCTTCCCGGGACGAAGAGCACATCTAAATTCCCTGTACCTAGTTTTATAGAGATAAAAGAGTCTACCATACCTGGAGCTGGAGATGGGGCTTTCGCAACACAGTTTATAGAACCTGGGAGTATACTTGGTAACTAGAATTGAAAACTGTTTAATTTATCAGACTTAGAACTAACTTTGATTCTACAGTGTAGCCCGCAGATCAGGTGTGCCTAATAAGCAAATGTAACTCTTTGAAAAGTAAATCACCAATCATAAACCTGTGAAATTGTCAGGAAGCTACAAAGGAAAGATAATATCTGAGAAGGAGTACAGGAAACTAGAGTCTGCAGATAAGGAGAGTGGGTATGCGTGGAGAGCAGTTAGTCAGGACGGAGATGTTATCTATCTAGACGGGGCAAGTCACCGTGCTAGTAACTGGTTGAGATTTGTTAACTGTGCTAGAGGGAGATGTGAGGAGAATGTGCTAGTTAGAAATGTTCCAGGTATGATTTGGTGTTATTATATTTACGATATCCTTTATACAGATATTCGCTCATATCAGCTTACCTGGCAATAAAAATGTGAATCACGTAAATTGAAGCCTATAATAGTATTACTAGTAATTAATTGAGGGTGAGCCAAGGCACGTTACCCTCGCATATTATTATAATTGTGCTAATAATGTGCTTTTTATAATTCAGCGAAGTTTTTAAATTACAATAATCTTTATTAGGTCACAACCCACATTTTCATCAGCCTCAAATTATTTGTTATATATTAGTGTAATACTTTCAACACTACTATATAACAAATAATTTGAGGCTGATGACAATGTTGTACATAAATTGAAATATATTCCGGATTGTGACCTAATAATAGAAGAGCATTTTACTTTGTCGCATTAGAAGAGGAATATCAAAATTTCTTCAATCAAATTCAGTATTCAGTATGCGACTAATAAACATTGCACCACTCAACTACTTAATAATCTTTATATTAATGTTACTAAATACTCTTATTCTGCAGGAGGAATACAGTACTACTCGTTTAAACCTATAGCAATGGGACACGAGTTACTTGTGTTCTACGGAGACAGTTACTTTGTAGAGCTAGGATACAATATAGATACTGATATAACACCTGGTGAGGACACACTGTTATTATTATGGTATCATTGGTTTTAATCTTGAGGGTATTTTTTCCATCGCCTAAAAAGGCAATAGATGGTTAGAAGTGGTAGGATTTGAGAATGGGTATAGTGGGTATAGGTTTTTCGTGGTGTCACAAAGCAAAACATGCATAACCCTCCACAAACACGTGCTCCTTTACAAATTATCACGTGATTGTCGCGCGCGCGCATTTTACACTGCTTTTATGTCAAGGTCGTGTACTCTATACTATACTCTGTACCACAAATCGAACAATTGTTTGCGTCGCGCTAGCTTGTAATGTACTTCTTTCCACTGTTACTTGGTTACTTGGGGTTGCTTCATAGATCCTCTATCGGGTCATCAGAACGGCTGACCACCCGTGCAGCGAAGTTGCTGTCTTTTCTGCGCTCCAGTTCAATAACGAATTCCCGTTCTGGCAACAATATCCAGTAACAGGAGGTTCGTCCGGAATAGATGTAACAAACTCCGTCAACAATGACTTGAAACGTAGGGGGTCCTCGATAAGGTGCAGGTTTGCGGGATGATGTTCCACAATCGAGGCCCCATCACTACAAATGAGCTGTCAAAGATCGATTGATTCCTTTGGCTACTGGACGTTGACAAGCTAGGGACTACTGCTTTCTGGCCATAACGGAGTGTATCTGTAAACTGAACGTTGACATCATTAGGACACTTCTTGTGTAGGATCTTCCACATATGAATGATAGTGTAACGTTCTCTCCTCCGTTGAAGTGACATCAATTTTAAGGCCTTCAGTCTCTGCCAATAGTTCAGATGTTATACATTTTGCTGCGTATTGATAATGTCGTTCAAGCTTTTGTTGACTTCATACGATACAAACTTCTTATTATGTTTTGGGTGCTTGGTGCTACAACAGACTTGGCTCCCGATATTAGTAATTCGTTATGTTGTATAAATTATGATGTTATGTTGAACATGATTGCGAATAGATTGATTCATTATACCAAATGAACGATACATTTTATTATGATTCACATTGTATTACCTACCACAGATTTGATTGGGCGACATCTGTCCGACAGTCGAATTACCGGTTTCGGACAAAAGTCGCTGTCAGATAGGAGTCGTTTTTGGCGACATCTGTCCAACTTTCGGAGTTCGGACCACATTTGTAATTTCGGATCACGTTCGTATTTCACAAGCTCACGGGTAATCTGGTGACGTTGCTCCCACAGTCCTAATGTAATGCTGATTTGATGCATAATTGAGATCTGATCCATCGATACGTGGTTGACTATTTGAGGACATGATCATGCTAGCAGTATACACTAACAGTAACGAGCTGCCAAGTGCCAATCACATCACAGCCTACAATACACACAGGAGAGCGGTATGGAGATTAGTTATTTATAAACATTTAAACTATTGTCCAACTTTTGACATCAAATGAAAATAAACTATGGTAGAGTTCAGCTCAGGTCATATCTCAGTTCAGATCATGTCTCTAATTGGAAAATGGAAATGTGTCGTATTGCAATTAGATCACAATTTCGGACAGATGTCTTTTTTTCTGGTAACATATTGAGTCGGACAAGAGTCGCTGTCGGACAGATGTCCTTTTAACTGCATCATGCATATCACCGCACAGGCTGCGCTACGGTGTCCGGTCGTTTAACTTTCGATTCAAATAATTGACAACAGCAACCCTTCCATTTTGTTCTCTGTAACACCCCAAAGAAATTTGGTAATTTTAAATTTAACCAATATGAAAGGATCGTTAATTGTAATTAATTACGGTCGATGGAAATCTAGCGTCCGCTAACCGGCGCAATTCTTGTTATTGTTCAAAATAGTATTTATAATATAAAACTTGTTCCAAGATTATGCCAAATCATAGGTTCACAAATTTTTCCAAAAAACCTTTTTAAAATTAACCTGTTTATAAAATGATCCCTAATTTTACAGGAGTGGAATATCACTGTACTGCGTGTGGGAAGCTATTCAAGACTCAGACAAAACTAGAGGCACATATTTGTAGGAAGATTCAGCCATCTGGAAGAGAGAAGACTCATAAATGTGACATATGTGGGAAGATGTTTAGTCGGAGGGGTACTTTAACAACACACATCAGGAGAGTACACGAGAAGATAGCGAGATTGAGTTGTCCCTATTGTAAATATAGGACTGATCATCAACATCACCTCACAACACACATGTCTACTCACACAGGGGACAAGAACTACAAGTGTTCTCAGTGTGATTATACTACTGTGGAGAAGAGGAGCCTCACTGTTCACATGCACACTAACCACACTAACAAGACATACAAGTGTCGGTACCAGCAGTGTAGTGTTAAGAAACCTTCTGAGCAGGAACTGTATGATCACATCAGAACAGAGCATCCACTACAACAATACAGATGTGATGTGTGTCCAATGTCTTATAACGAAGCAAACAGTCTTACGTACCACAAGCTTACACATGGTGATCGTGAGTTAGAATCACAATACAAGTGTAGGTATTGTGGGAAACAGTTTTTACAGTCATGTCATCTAAAAACACATGCTCTTACACATACTGGAGAGAAACCACATAAGTGTAGTGTGTGTGGTAAGGGGTTTAATAGAAGAGATAGTTTAACAGTACACATGAGGACACACACAGGGGAGAAACCCTACTCCTGCTCACACTGTGATATGAGGTTCAGTACGAGTAGTCACAAGAACAGACATGAAATCAGTTGCAAAAGAAAACCTGGTTGAAGATGTTGTTTCTGGTAGTAATTACTGATTTAATGAGTTTCTTTTCTGTAGTCGACTCAGTGATAATTTTAGGAACAGATGAATATGGAATGTGTGCTGTTATTAAAATGTCATTTCAACCTATCATTTTGTTTATCAGTAGGCGACTCTATAACTGTGTGGTTGTACTTTGATGAATTACTTCTTGCTTATTACCGACAAGGATATAAGATATTGTCGAATTCTTGATCATATTTTAATTTTATTACTTTCCAACTAATTTTGATAAGTTTAAAGTGTAAGATAACTTAAGGAATGTTTTATTATAAAATTATCGTTTGATTGTCTCTTGGTATCAAACTTGGTTCCCCCCTGAATAGTGTAGTGTTTTGAACTGATCTGTGATCAGTTGCACAATTTATATACTTTTTGGTATAAGATACAAACAATTGAGATATTTATTGAATGTACATACCTCCATTTTGGGCCAGATCGTCCTCGGGTTACATCCACTTGGGTCTTGGAACCCTTCGGACTTCACTTTCAGTATTCAAGGATGAAGAAGATCATTTCTCTATTTCTTCTGTACAGTGACATAATATTTGTTGTCTGTCCTGGCTTTATTGTCAGTTCGTGTAACGCGCGAAGTGATTATTTTTATCAAATAGTAAAATTTCGCCAGCAACCATGACATAAAAGCGCGGCTCAACGTATTTGAGCGATTTTGATTTCCCACTTTTTTACTGAGCGTACCCATTCTGAAGATTTATAATCTCTACTCTCTAGAGTCTATGTCTGACCTGATACAGACGACAGGCCACTCTTCTGTAATCCAGTGAAGCTGCTGCCATCTCTCTAGGAGCTGACACAGATTACTTCTCGACTGTTAAGTCACCTTTCTGTATAACTACAAGTACATATAATGGCTTGTGCTCTGATCCATCAACCGGGGCACTCCATGGGTTTGTCTTAGTCAGTGTAATAAGCGCCAAGCGCGAGCACAGAACTTTTTTCTCCGATTTCGATAAATTTGGTACCAAAAGATTTCTAAAAATGTGAATAAAACAAATCCACCGTGTAGCAATTTTCGGAAAAAATGCTACACGGCGCTTCACGCTTGTTCGCCGCGCGTGCTTTTTTCGCGCAAATTTTTAGTTTTTGGCCTATAACTTTCACATTTTAAATTATTATCACATAAGTATTATCATAAGTAATACCATTATGTTATGGTATCGTAATCAGCTCATCGAGACGAAACTTTAAGTACTAATATTTTAAGATTTAAAGGAATTTTTTTCAAAAGTTTTTAATCTGAACACAAGTAAAGGGTCCCCCCTTTGTGTAAAATTTTGAACAAATTTTCGAAAAATTTGGTGCTTTAAATATTATAATTTTGGTTGGTTGACGATGTCAACCCATCGAGATCGTGGATCGACGATGCGAAGCAAGAATGCTAGTTCGCGCGGCGCGTCGAAGCGGCGAAGTCCTCCAAAATTTTGGTACCAAAAGTTGCGTCTGATTAAGCTCATTACGATTCTGTAAGAATTGTTTCAAAATATTCAATATTTTAGGAGTTACAGGCATTTTAAGCAATAAATTAACCATTTTTCGTCCATAGTTCACTTTAGCAATGCACAGGAGGCCCACATACATCTCAACGAATCGTGCTACACGGTGAATTTTCATTATTCACAGTTAAAGGCAACTTTTGGTACCAAATTTATCAAAATCAGAGACAAAAAATTCTGTGCCAACTCATGGCGCTTATTACATAAACTATCTGTCAGAGATGTTTTAAATCAATTCATCAGACGATTCCTTCTCGCCTTCATCTAATCATTCAAAAACTTGCCCTTGTTTTAAACTAATACTGTTGGCTTAGATAATTCCAGTGGGGGTTCACATTTTGGGCACTAAAATTCTTATTCCTCGGCCAAATTTGTATTCTTTCATGCTGATTTGAAGGCCATTAAAGCATTCAAACCAGTTACGAGTTTTGCGGAAAGTCGTGTTTAAGTAGATGTCGTGATGTCAGTGGAATGGTACGGATATTTAAATATATATCGTCTCGCTTTATATATAGTAAGATGGTTAACTAAGTTAGTTTTCTAAGATAAGCTTTTAACAGTAACTTTTGCCATCTGGCAAATCTCTTTGTAATAGATAGCTGGAAAGTCCCTAGGGCTACCTTTTTTATTGACGATTTCAATCTTTTCCAGCTCGTAACTTACGATCACGTTAGGTATTATAAGCGAGAATTATTATACGCTTTTTTCGGTCTGGCTTTAATGGTTAACTAAATTAGTTTTTGAAATGGCTACTAGGTCTGAACTTGTAACATCTGACATATTGTGATAGATAGTTGGAAAGTACCTGCGTTTCTGTTGCAACTACAGAAACTTGTGTATACAATAAGCTAGATGAAAACAGCGTTTCGTGTGCTTTAAGAACAATAGAATGGTCGTTCCTACACGTCCTTTGTCATTCGACTCAACCATTCAAGACTTCAATATTCAGAGTTCAGATAATATGTTTAACACCTTGTTCAGAACGATCTTTGGGCAAGACGAAGCCCTCGTTTGTTATACGACGAGTATAAAAGATCCTGATCAGAATGCGAATCTCTTTCTACAAAGTATCTGGACTCTTCACTTCAAATATGCACCAAGAAAGAAGAAGCATGATCGGAGTGGCGCTGTTCGCATTGATAGCAGTGATGTCTGCACAATTCGACATCAGGTTCACTACCGATTACACCCCCTTATGAACCTATCTGGAGTGATGTCGGCTCTAGCGCTATCAGGGAATTGAAAGGTGCGCTGGGCGCCCCATCTTCGATTCTGAGTTCTGTATTCTGGAAGATTTCGCCACTGGAAGTTATAAGAAGCCCGCCTTGATGGCAATGATTTTATCAATTCACCAGCTCTCGTTAACCCTACCAGCTTCACCCATACCTCTTTATACAGAGCATTTATATCGTGAAAACATCTTGTAGAGTTTAGGTTCAAACTTCAAAGATACTGCTATAATCATTTATCATTTAGCATAATGCTGATCTACTTTAATTCTGAGAATTAAGTGAGAAATATTGAAAAGATCTGGGTAAAGATTTCCGGAATAATCAAGTCAGCCAATGGATTATACGCGTTAAACATTAGGACTAAATACTAAATAGTTGCACTGACCACGTTGACAAACCGGAATTACAAAACATTGTTTTAGCACGTTCTTAAATTTTGCTTGTAATCGCGATCAATTCCTCGACCTGCTACTGATAGCTGAAGCTCGTCAACAAGTTGATTTTCCTTTTTGTCTGCTTCTCAACAGATCCTGAAGATGATTTTGAGGCCAGGTGGGGGTAACAGATGGAAGACAATCGATCCACGAGTGTTCGGCTCGACGGAGGACAAGGAGGAAAAATTAGCTTTTAAGATCGTTCAGGGCTGGTTAGGAGAGAGATATGTACCGGATGATGGGGCCGAGGTTTGACTTTGAGGGCAACTTAAACCTCTTCATAATCATAGTTAATACTGTGCCTCTCCATACCGGGTCCCTCGATATACTGGGCACTTTATTTTTCTCCAAAATTCCCCCCCCCCCCCCTCCCCAAAGCCCGGTACAAAGAGGTTTAACTTTATTATTAAATAAAGTTTCAAATCCGAGTTTAAAACCACATGAATCAAGCTTTCAATTTAAACTCTATGAATTTTCTGGTGATTTCTTCGCATAACAGCTGGGTTGGTTGGACGATTTCAAAGAATTCAGTGCTGACACAAGTGCTCACGGAGTCAAGTACGTCTTTCACGGAGACCAGAAGTTGATTAAGATTTTCTTCCTGATCATCTGGCTCGCTAGTATCGGATACGCTGTCTACGTCATTGCCATATCTGCTATCTCATTCATTGGCAAGCCGACAGGTGCGGATACAGGATAAATAAAATAAAAGTTCAGAAATAATGTTGAATTTAAGGATAGAATATAGCAGCACAACTTCGAAGTTTGAAGGGTTAAAATATAAAATTACACTCAAATTTAATTTAATTCTGTTAATAGACCTATTTTCAGGGACTAAGTTTCAAGTGATCGCAAGTGAAGCAAACAACAAGGATAGACAAAGACCAGCCTCGATCTTATTCCCAACCATATCTATATGCAGTCACAATGTGGTAAGACCAAGTTTCATTTCAGGTTAGGAAAATTAACGAATCTGCAGTGAAGCAATAGAGATCAGCCCTTATCTCTGTTAACAGAGGTCGTGGGAAGTGAGTAGCAAAGAATCCAACAAAAAGATACCAAAAATAAAAAAGTAAAAGTCAGAAGTAGAGGCCGTGGAAATAATTTTCAACGTTTCATATAATTCATCGCAGGTTTCACACCGTTGGTCTCAGACTAAAAAAGGGTTAGAGAAAATTATAAATAAGCTGGACCAATGGGACGAAAAGATTACCAGAAGGATTCCATGGAATAACCCCTCTTATAGAATGTAAGTTTATTATTTGCTCATCAAGAATATCTTCATTTTCACTTACTTTTTTCGTTGTAACGGAAAAAATCGGTTAATTGTCACGAATAATATCCCATATTTGGAGGAAACAACGGCTTCAACTGGTTAAAATTCATAACTCAACATTGGTGCAGGTGGAGGAATGTTACATACGAGAAAATAATAAGAGAGGCGGGTCCAGCTAACAGTACGTTTCTACAGTGCGAACAGAGCATCAACATTTGTAACGATGAGAAGGTTTTGGGGAAAATGTACTTTGAGCGGGTTTGTGTTATCTTATCATGACAGATTGCAGAAATTCTCCAAAATAGAAACGGGGCATGATACTAAAAATAAAAAAGTAGCAGTACAGGAAACAAAATTTCTTTCGAACATAAATTTATATTTCAAGAATTAATAAAGTCATCCATTCCAGAAAGATAGTTCTCGAAAAAACACACCTCTTACAGGAAGCAAGTATCAGCGGGAACTGCTTCAGAGTGAACCCAGAAGGAAAGCTACGTGGAAAAGGTGGAGACTACGGCAAGATGAGGCTTATATTCTTTGCAGATCTGGACGATTACAGGTTCTCTTATTATCTTTATCAGATCAATAGGTGGCAAGGCAATGAGTGAGCCTGGGACGTAGTTTTCATGTTAAAAATAACTTGGCCCTACTATAATTTCTCCCCGACATTTCTCGTTATGAATAATTCATCCTCGACAAATTGAAGAATACTAATAGAACATCTGCCCTGTCTTTTTACAATTCATCATACCATCATTCATGATTCATCATACTATAGCTCCTACTTTTCAGCGAATCAGCAAAACAGAACGCCCAGTATGGTTACAAGGTTATATAATATATATAGTATATACTATAGCTCCTACATTTCAGCGAATCAGCAAAACAGAACGCCCAGTATGGTTACACGGTAGCATTTCACGACCACGAGACCTACTCCAGCACTATACCCTCCGGTTTCTTCATGAGCCCCGGTAGTATCTACAAGGTGGACCTAAGCATGGTCAAGGTAAGTTTAAGCACTTTGGAGGAGAACCATTTCTCTGGAAACTCAGCAAACTGCCAATTCTCTGTAGATGTTTAGAGAACTAAAAGTTACACTATATGGTAGTGTAACGATGGTAACATTACCTAATATGGTGATTATCCTGTGTAGGAGTTTAGAGAACCCCCTCCAGCTGGGTCATGTGATCAGAGTCTGGTGGTTAACACTTACGGCAGATACGAGGAAAACAGGTTAAATACTCATGATCCCCCCTTTCCCCCTAATACAGAGTAGGGTCAAATATTCAAACCATAAAGATTGCGTTCAATCATGACATTTCGTTATACAGTTTGACGCTTCACGGTGGTGAATTGAACGGTGAACCAAAAATCAGATATAACACATCCAATAAGTTGTGTAACATGTGCATTGTGCAAATAGTGTTAACTTCTAGTTTTCAGTTGTATAGCCCAATGTAGAGACTACGCACTGATAAGAGAGTGTGGCTGTGTACTGATAGTACCACCTTACCCTCAAAATAACCCGGCTGTGGAGTACAAGGCATGTACTCTAGAACAGTGGGCTAAATGCGGCATAAAACAGTACAAAAAGTGGGGTAAGTCTTACTTTTTGTTTATTATTCGCTACTTCTTCTGTTTTCTTATGTAAATGAATTATAGGAGAGTTTCGTCCTCCAATCCTAGCCCGATAGGAACCATGACACGTGCACACTTCAGTTGCGAGATACTCGGACGTGAGAAACCTGAACCCTATCTGTAATTGTCCGCCTCCCTGTAAAGAAACACAGTACACTGCCCAACTCTCCAGCTCCTCCCTCAATAAATACTACGCTCACAAAAAGGTGGACAGTTTACCAGCTGGTAAGTTCGGGTTTATTTGCTGGAGCATTCTTCTCATTACGTAATACGTATCGTGGAAATTTATTGATGTAAAGAACACAGTCACTATAATACCTGCACTGTCCAGGTTACACTACAAAGGAGGATGTTATGGATAACCTGCTGGTGATAGAGATAATGTTCTCTAACATGCAGGTTTCTGAGATAAGGGAGATAGTTACCTATGGCTGGGGTAACTTCCTCGGTGAGTCTAATATTACCTTTAGATTCAGGCTCTTAGATTGTTGAGGAGATTGTGAAGGTCTATATTTTTATGCTGTATCAGAAATGAAATTCACAGTGGTCCAACAAATTCGTTCACTCTTGGCATGTTTATTATAATAATTTTTGATTTTCCGTCACTATTTGTACTTAAATATCTATAATTATATCAGGTGATGTAGGCGGAGTGCTGGGGCTGTTTCTTGGTTGCAGTGCCTTCACCATCATCGAATTTGGGCAGTTCTTTGTTTTCGCTCTTGCCAAGTGGTGTTTCGACTACCAGGGCCCTAAAAGGTCCTCGAAAAAGTTTGAACAGAAAAATGACAACTCAAATGATGCAACGATAGAGATGGAGCTGCCTAAAAACCTTCTGTCTCTTCAAAATGGTCGATCATGACCAATGACAAGAACTGAGTTGTATAAAATATTCAACGAGCCTAAACTACTTTGAAAATCACCGTTTAATTTCAATTATGTTAAACCCCAAACTTTTGTGTTGAATTTTGAACAAAACCTTTCTTTCTCCCTGTCAAATACAAATACGATTGATTTTGTTCTGTTCTGTGTTCATGATCCCAATTTAAATATTTCAAAATTAAATGTATTTTTTGTTCATTAATAATATAACAATGCATCAATCATAAACTTTACGTTCATCTAATAGTAATACAAATTTGGCCATTGAGTCTATTTACTATTTAATTGGTTATCAGTGGACCTATCTGATTTAACGGATGATATGATACTCTGAAAACATTTGTTTCTTGGAGGACTTCGCCGCTTCGACGCGCCGCGCAAACTAGCATTCTTGCATCGTCGACGATCGTTGCTCTGCTTCGCAGAGCAACGATCTCGACGGATTGACATCGTCAATCAAATTTGTTTCAAGACTGTCGACGAATTGACATCGTGAATCAACGCCAGTCACTACGCTGTACGACTTGCTCTAACCAGAGCCCTCTAGCTTGCAGTAGCGCGCGAACGTGAAACAAGCGCGTCACGCAGTACGCATAGACACATGGCTATGTATGTGAACTGTACGACTACGACTACGCGCGACACTTGACATACGTTGCATGCCACTTTTCGCGCGCGAAGCGCGCGCCGCCGAAGGCGGAAAAAGGGGCATACCATGAAGGGAATCGGACTTTTTAGAGGGACGCATATTCTGCGTCCCTATTATCCTATTTGACCAAATATGGGAGTAATTGACTGAGATGGCGCGCGCGCGCCACCAAAACAGTTAAATGCATTGTTTTTAACCAAGTTGCAATATTTGTGAGTTTACTTGGTATCTTTGTAGTATTTTTATTATCTAAACGACTTTATTAAGTCATTAGAACCTTCATGCAAACAAAAATTGAAATGTTTCAATATTTCTGTAAACTTAAAACTTGTAATTTTGTTCCAAACTGCTTAATTTTTGTACGGCGCTACTAATTCATGAAAAACGCGCTATATTTATATTTCGCATTGGATATATAGATGACCAATGATATCGTGGTATTAAAGTCATGTGACACCGCGATGAGCTAGCTGGCGTCTAGCTGCCTAAGATCATATTTATGCTTTCTCCTTTGTCCTATTTTATCACTCGATAACTTTTTACACATGCTTTTTTGTTCAACCTGTTGTTCGATTTGTTTAACATCTCTCTGGTTATTGCAAACCACTTCAATCCCCAAATTTATACATCTAACATCTCTAAGGCTCGACCAGGACCGCTTTTTTGGGGCTAATATTAAATACTAGTGGACTCTATGCAAATTCTTCCAGCACCCTTAATTTAACTGATCTGGAGGTCACATTTTATTGAGCCAGTACAGGCTAATATTAAATACTAGTGGACTCTATGCAGCTCTTCCAGCACCCTTAATTTTACTGATCTGGAGGTCACATTCTATTGAGCTAGTACAGGCTAATATTAAATAGTAGTGGACTCTATGCAGCTCTTCCAGCACCCCCTAATTTTACTGATCTGGAGGTCACATTTTATTGAGCTAGTACAGGCTAATATTAAATACTAGTGGACTCTATGCAGCTCTTCCAGCACCCCTAATTTTACTGATCTGGAGGTCATATTTTTTTGAGCCAGTACAGGCTAATATTAAATACTAGTGGACTCTATGCAGCTCTTCCAGCACCCTTAATTTTACTGATCTGGAGGTCACATTCTATTGAGCCAGTACAGGCTAATATTAAATACTAGTGGACTCTATGCAGTTCTTCCAGCACCCTTAATTTTAATGATCTGGAAGTCACATTTTATTGAGCCAGTACAGGCTAATATTAAATACTAGTGGACTCTATGCAGCTCTTCCAGCACCCCTAATTTTACTGATCTGGAGGTCATATTTTATTGAACCAGTACAGGCTAATATTAAATACTAGTGGACTCTATGCAGCTCTCCCAGCACCCCTAATTTTACTGATCTGGAGGTCACATTTTATTGAGCCAGTACAGGCTAATATTAAATACTAGTGGACTCTATGCAGCTCTTCCAGCACCCCTAATTTTACTGATCTGGAGGTCACATTTTATTGAGCCAGTACAGGCTAATATTAAATACTAGTGGACTCTATGCAGCTCTTCCAGCACCCTTAATTTTACTGATCTGGAGGTCACATTTTCCCTCAGTAGCTACTCTCCCACTCAGTATTAATTCTCTGTCTTCATCAGTGATACTCTACATTTCCCTCAGTAGTTATTCTCCCACTCAGTATTAACTCTCTGTATTCATCAGTGTTACTCGATATTTCCCTCGGTAGCTACTCTTCCACTCAGTATTAACTCTCTAAATAAATTATGACAATTATGTTAGTTATAGAATTTGTTTGTTTTTTAATGACGAAGGCTGTGAAATGTTCACAGTTCTGATAATGAGGAAATCAGAAAGATTGTTTAAAACTAGTGATGATGTTTATGTCATTATTCTTAATCTAATCTAATCTAATCTTTGCTGCAGGTGCTTGTCACGTCACATGCCTTAGGCTAGGATGATATCCAGGTAACCATTTTATGGGATCATTTGAAACATAAGCACCCTTCTAAACACAAGGAAGCAACTGCAATACGTGAATCACAGAGGGTCAAGACTCAAGAGACAAAAGTCTGATGAAGTCGAAGCTGAGCGGAGATCGATGTATCAACTGACAACATCTAATCAGCCCACACTGGGGGCAGTCTGGAGCGGCGCCACTGTTACTAGACTGATGAACGTCAAAAAGATCTAAAAAGTTGCTCCTGAAATGGATTATTGATCAGATGCTCCCATACACGACTGTTGAGAATGAACAATTTCAACAGTTTGTTGACGGTAAGATTGATTTGGGACGTTTTTAATAACTTAGCTCAATAAAAAAAAAACTTTTCTAGGCTCGAGCTGTGATGACCCCAGATTAAAATTCCAATTGAGTTCTTTGTGATGATAAAATTGATTGCTATTAAGTAAATTAGCAGCAGATTGACAATCATTTGTTGGATAATCATTTACAGATAAATTAAGATCATCTGACTTCCGGCTCATTCAGGTTTGAACAAGAAGTTTGACATACCCTCAGAGAAGGTGGTGCGCACAAAACTGTTTCCTGAATTATATGATAGAGTACAGTTTAAACTGAAGAAATTTATTGACTGAAAGGAGCTGATTACAGTCTGAGCTGTGATGTTTGGTTGTCAAAAGCGCTGGATTCCTATTTGGGGGTCATAATACACTTCGTAACTACAAACTTCGAAAGAAAAGTTATTGTACTGAGATGCCTTCCCTATAACCGAGCACATACCGGTAAGTTCTATCGTTAAATCTGAATAATTTAGCTCATATATATATCTAATTTGTGTCATTTCTAACCCCATGATCAAAGTTCAAACTCAGAACTCAGGACTGCCAATGCCATATAGATTGTAAAATTCGAAATACATGCTCATTTCGAGTTCATCAGAGTGCGCTTAGCTTTTTGATAGTAGAAAATATTAACCGTTAGCTGCCCACATAGTTTCTAATTACAAATTATTACGTGACTCGTTAAAGAACAATGTGTCATTTGTACTGCAGGCATGGGGTCTGTCCGAAGAGAAACTTCACTGCGTTATCAGCGACACTGCTTCAAACATGAAAAAGGCTTTGTCCGCCTGGATCCTGTTTTCTCCATCTACTGAATCTCATCGTAAAGAATTCTGTTTTTCTCAAAGTGGAGTTAACCGGCTTATCAAAAAGATCAAGAGTCTTATCAAGGAGTTTAGAACCCCTGCGGGTGAGAATCACTACATTTACCTTAGGTTTTCTGTTTGATGATTTCATTGTCACATACTTAATCTGATAACAACGGCTGATTCAAAATATTTTCTTACTGAAATGTACACATTAATAACGTTTGATTAAAATGTTGCCGTAGGTACATGTTCGTTGAGTGACATAATCTTGGCAAAACTATCATTGTTACGACTTGCGTTTATCATTTCTTAACTATCATATGTTAAACTATCCCGCACATGCAGGTAAACGTCTACTGAATGAAAATCAAGCAGTAGAGGCAACTCTCATCAGACCAGTTGCAGTGGACACGAGATGGAACAGTTATTACATGATCTTCCAGGCCTTTCAGAATAAAAAATATGCAATAACAATCACCGCTCAAAATGCAGAGTTATCGTTGTCTGCATCTCAACAGGTCAGTTTACATGCAGCTCTTTTGACTCATCTCTCATTTTCTGAGTAGCACTAGTTAACATCAAGTTTAGAGAATCAATGTCCCTGGAATGTAACTGGAACAAATTCTTGTCCGCTGGACCTCCTAATTCCTAGCTCACTTCTCAATGTACAGGCTAAGTATTGATCAACTGAATTTTGCAGATGACTCCTCACGATTGGGATCTTCTGACCAAAGCTATTGCGGTACTGAAGCCATTCTACATCACCACAAAAGCGGCGGAGGGGGACATGGTTTCTGTTTCGGAGGTTATCCCAAATATAAAGAAACTGGATTACGCTATCAGGAGCATATCCTCAAGTGGAGTCGGAACTCTGAAACCCACGCTGCTTTCCGAAATGTAAAACCAAGTATGTGATATATGAACTTGGGTTCACGTACTGTAGTGCGACACGTACTCTAGTGCGACACGTACCCTAGTGCGAAACCTCCAAGATCGACACTGTCGCAGTAGAGTACGCTACCTGGATCGTAGTGCGACACGTACCCTAGTGCGACAGAGAACTTTCAAGGCCGACACTGTCGCACTACAGTGCGCTACCTGGACTGTAGTGCGACACGAACTAAAGTGCGACAAAACACTTTACACATTCAATAAAAATTTTACTTTCCATTTTTAATGACGAGAGTGTAGTCGTGTATGAGTAATGGGGTTAAATATAAAATCAAAGATTGCAATCACAATAT